TTGGAAAATAGAGGATGAGGGTTGAGAGACTGGAAATTGTGTCTGGGTGGTGGGAAGGGAGGAGACCAGTGTGAGTGCTGACGTATGGCATTGGAGCCAGAAGAGTAATGCTGTGTGTAGGGGGAGTCCAGGAGCGTGACCAGGCTGATGATTTTATGCTGTATATAGAATTGCTAAGAACATTCAGCGCACAGCTTTGCTGTCTGCCTTCATCAAAAAAGCTTAAAAATGGCTAAAGTACATATAGCCGTCTAACACTAACGTCTAACAGTACCAGCTCCATCTGAATTAGTGCCGAGGAGTTCTTTGTTCAGTTCAGGACTTCTGTCTACGTAGCTTATTCTTGATCCAGTCTTCTTTACGTGGATGTCCCCATAGCATGTACAGTGTAGCTGAAAACAAAGCAATAGGCTTAAGCTTCATAAACAGGAGGTCGGAGAAAATGATTTAGTATTTCCTGATGACTTTAAATGTCATATCTATAGTGGACTGTGACAAATTAATAATTTGGAGGAAAGCAATGTGGTGTGTTCCAGAGTTCTAGAGGATTAGAAAGCGTTCTAATTTGGTGTATTTTGGAAAGGTTTAAAAATAATTTCTTTTTATGTTCACCTGTATTGAGCCACCCCAGAGCTAGGTGTCATGTGGTAATTAGATTAAGGCCATGTGCCTGTAAACAGACCAAGAAGTGTGAAGTTTGAAACCAGTTGTTAAAAAAAATTTTAAATCATCAAACTGATACTTGCATAGTTATCATAGTTGTATAAAATACATAAACCCTGTAAAGATCTGTTACTAAGTCGTAAGGGTATTGCAGTTGTCCTCAAAAGCAAACATTTTGTGCTTTTTATCTGTTAAAAATACAAAATAAAATGTGTGTATTATCTGCACTTTTTTATGTACAAGTCACTAAAACCATGTACCTAATGTGAAATTGCCTTTCATGTTTCTATGGAGCTGTATATAAAGTTGCTTTGAAACAAATTTCCTTGAAAACTGTTTATTTTTCCTATATTTTCATTACATCTGTCTTTTACTATGAGAAAAAAAAATACAGGTATTAGATAAATGAAACAGAGGAAGTTTTTTGCTCAGTAGTTATTTTCTTCTTATTTGTAGTGTCAAACTTGGTCCCCACTAATTTAATCATGACTATATATAAGAGAATGCTGTTTTTTCCTTCTGTGCATGAAATATTCCAATTGTTCTTTCTTGCAGTTTTATAACCCTTTCACATTTCTAACATTCACCTTGATTTTAATTCATGTTACCGAGACCTTTTTTCCTTAAGATAATGTAATTCAGTAGAAATGCATAATCAGTTGATGCACCTAAACTCTGTGGGACGATGTTACACTTAGAAAATACATTCTTCTACTTTGCATTAGACTGAATTTCAGTAAATACACTCCCTTGCACCTCTTACATCCTATTAAAGAAATATTGCAGCTGCACTTATAAGAAAATCAGAGACGCCACGTGCTTATGTTGAAGACAGCTAGAGGAAAAGTGTCTTCCCTTTGTCAACTGGAACCTTAATTGATTAAACTTGGAAATGTCCATTGAAAGTGTGTCTCTCTGTATCAATACCTCAATTAGGAATTGGTAATACTCAGTATTACTATAGTATAGTAAAATATACCATACTGTGTGTTCCACAGTCTTGTATACAAGGATATAAGCCATGATCTGTCGGTGTCTTCTCCCAAGTAGCGAGTGACAGGGGAAGAGGAAATAGCCTCAAGTTGTGCTAGGGGAGGTTTAGGTTGGATATTAGGAAAAAATTTGTTACTGAAGGGGTTATCAAGCATTGTAACAGGCTGCCCAGGGAAGTGGTTGAGTCACCATGCTTGGATGTATTTAAAAGATGTGTAGATGTGGTGCTTAGGGACAATGTTTAGTGGTGGACTCGGCACTGTTAGATTTACAGTCGGACTCAATGATCTATGGTTCATTTGCTCCTAAGCTCCTAAAATCAAGGAAAAGGTCCTTGTCCCATTTGATTTATAGTATGAAAAGGAGTCTTGGATTCTGCCTCCCAACTGATTCCTTCTTTATGTATGGTGTTTTTCCTGGCGCTTTCAGTGTTTCAAATTATCTGGTTTTGTTGTTTATGGCCAAAAGCATCCAGACACGTGAGTCACAGCGAAGAGGTCACTGGCACCAAACTGTGTTTTGTGCTGCTGCCACACATTCTACCTGAGGCTCACTGGTGCTTTCATTCTTCCAGATGCATGTTTCTGTAACTCATCTGTAAAAAGTAATAATATCTTTAAAAAAAATAAAATAAAAAAGAAGTGGATGTCTCTTACTTCATCCTTGTTCTTTTGTCATACATAGGTCCTCCCTTTGAATTATGAGTATGCTATGTGGTAAATATTATTATACTTTGCTTATGCATTCATATTTACCTTGACTCTTGTTTGCTACACCATACCTTCAGCCATTAGCCTATGTTTTTGCTCACAATCAGCATCTCAGCAAGAAGCACAGAAGATATAACAAGTAATGTTTTTTTATGTACATAAGAAATGTAGGTATAGAGAATTTTATTCTGTACAAATCAGTGAGCAGACTCCTGGAATGAGCTGTCAAAAGAAATATGTTTTTCTATGAAATGGGTAGGACAAAATGTCTTAGTTAAAAGAGATTAAATAAATTATCTGGAGGAAAAGGCAATCTGCTGTATAAATATTTGAAATTTTGAAATTGAAGCCTTTACATTGATCTGCACTTAGAGGCCTGGCCTTATTTTGTAGCAGATAATATTGTATCAAAGCAATGTTTAGCGCTACTCAACGGCTGTTGTATTCGTAATAAATTATGTCAGATTTAATCTTGAATATATTCAACAATAGCACCCAGTTGTGCTGACAAACCTAAAATAATGTTCAGTTAAATATGTTCTATCACAAATCATTTGGGCACATTGCCTTTCTGAAGAATCACAAACTCAGTGTGCAAGCTTTGCTTTATAATTCCTGCTGCCTGTTGAATTCCCGTATTATATCCCGACACCCCAGCAGTAGACTCAGTAGGTTTCCTACTGGAACATTGCAGTAGCAGAGGTAGGCAATTTGAAACATTTTCTCAAGGGTATTACTTTCACAATCATTTTAATTGCTCAAGCCTGATCCACCGCTTGCGTTTTCATTTGTATTTGTTCAAAGGGAATGCAATTTAATTTTAAAATAGCCTCAAATCACTGCAATACTCATTTTACACGGTGAAAGAACAAGACAATAACATGAATAATCAAGTTCTCAAAGTTTCGTAAGGAAAACTGAAATTTTGCTTGGAGAAGAAACAATAAAAGACAGGGTTCACTTGTAGAATACTTCAAAGAGTGTCCTATAAATCCCAGGTCAAACACATTGGACAGAGAGGGCACTGTGTTAATTGTAATGAGTAGATGACACAAAGATCCGGAGAGCAGGGTGTAAGAACCTAGTTTAACTGGAGAAGAGTAGACAGCTGTAGTCAGCACAACAAAATCAGCTCTTCTGGAGAGCACTTCATCGCAGGAAACACGCTGGAGTGCTCTCAGGTACTCTCAAGAGAAGCCTTTCTCCTTCCCCTTACTCATAGGAAGCTATATGTGCCAAAAAGTGGGATGGAAGAAACTTCTCCCTTTTTCCAACTAAACCCCTAGCACTTAAGGTGCTCGTTTAAAATGTAGAAAAGTTCGGTTTATTTTTCTAAGAAAGTCTGAGTACTTGTCATGCTTCTTTGCCATATGCCTTAACCACTTTCTGCGTAGTTTGGAGTTAGTTTGTATAAATAATTATGCAAAGGCAATTCTTCTGTAACCTGAGGATTGAGGGAAATTCTTAGCATAGACTGGTTTAAGTAACTTCAAGAAGCTTTTGTAAGGCAGCTGCTGCTTTACAACCTTAACTCCTTGTGGACTTGATAACACTGTGTTTCACATGGGTAGGTATTGGGAGGAAGTGCTCCTTTCATGGTAATTTAATGTGAACTTTTGATCAGTCTGGCATCTGGGAAGTACTTTCTCAGCTGATGTCCATTTACTGAGAATGCATTGTGTAATCACCATTTGGATTTCTAAGGCTGTATTCTTACAGCTCTTTGTAGGTCAGTGGTGATGACAATGGGGCTTGCAAGCATCTAGTTTTCACTCCTTCAACTTTCTTCTAAGTTAGAGCCTGGTCCTGAATGCGGTAAAAATCAGGAGGGAACCGGAATCATTCTGCCGTGGTTAATATGGTCTCTCATGTTTGCTTGAGGGGGAAAATCTAGCACATTTCAAGGAACAGATTTTCCTTAAGTTTCATTTCTACCACCTCTTCACAAAGGAAAGAAGAGAGTTTGATAGTGTGCTGCCAGTTAATTAAATTTTGGGCATTCAGGCTAGAATGACAAAGTACTTTGATGTTACGTATTTTGAGTGGAATCAGAAATCCAGGAATAGGAGCCTAGGTTCCTATACAGTACATAAACTCAGCATGGCAATCCATGAAGTCTTCTGTATTCAGTCTACAGCTGTCTATTAGAAAGAGTTCCAAGGCAGGGAGAAGCTAAGACACGGGAAGATCCCACTTAGCAAATTTGTGGCCTGATAAGTTCTCGTTGGGGTAGATGCCTAAAATAACTCTTTCCAAGAATTGTACAGGGTATTTGAGAGAAGTTAGGTGGGCGCTCAGAGCTTTCATCTCCTAAATCTGCTTCAAAGAACTATTATGTTTAGTATATACTGTTTTTTTAACTAGTTGTACTGATGCTTTAGCCTTCTTAGGAGAGGCATTTGTATTTCCAATCAACAAGGTTATTTGAATGGTTCACAAGCTTCCTTAGGAAAGTCCTATGATCTAAGTGTTCTAAGAACTTCAGCATCTCTGGATTTCATTAGAGCACATGTTGTAACTATTATCTATGTGTATAATGCATAGACTACTGGTATTTTGTAATAAATTATCAGGATGTCATCATTCAACTCTACACAGTATCCATATTGTTATTATCTTGTTTTTATTTACCAGGTTACTTGTCTATATCTACATAACTATACCAAGCTACCTAGTCTGATGAAGTTGAACTTCATTCTTCAAGTGTGATTTACTCAATACAGCCTAAAGTCATGATGAAAAAGAAGAACATATCTGCAAGCAAAGCTTCCTTGGTCCTCTTTCTGTGCCAAATGGTTTCTGCATTGGATGTACCTCTTGACTGTAAGTACTAACCTGCTAAATAAGTGCAGAATGACAGAAGATCAGTTAAATAATTTCTCTATAGGAAGATAAAGATAACTCCAACATGGAGCTAAACATGGAATGTGTTTAATCACCTAAATCAGGACATTGTGATTATGAATATTTACACTAATTCAGTGGAGATGTTAAAAAACTGTGCATATAAAATGACTTGCGTTGTTCACTAGAGAAGGGTTAGCATAGGATTCTCACAAGTACTCACGCTTCAGTGTGCCTTTATTAAACACTTGATGAAAATGAAGAAGGGCAGAGAAGCCCCAGTTTAATGCTAATTAAGAACATATTGACAATATGCTGAAAACCCCAGTTCAATTCCTAGTTGCTGTAAACAATCACCCTTATCTTCATATAAGAAGTTTCCAGGAGTTCATATGAGATATAGTAAAAGATTCATATATCTAAAATTCAGACACTGGAAACATCTTACTTTTTGATATAGAAGAGTAAGTTAGGCTCTTAGATTTCCTAAGCACTGCCTGAAAATAGTTAAGTGCCTAACTTTAAGTTAAAAGTGTGTGTGCTGAGCAGGGAACTCTAGCATTAACCAGTGAGGAAACATCTAGAAGAGGGGAAATCCCAAGACTCAGTTAGTGAGGAACCTTGAACGTAACACTCCATGCTGAAAAGGAAGCCGTGGTAGCTGCTGCATTTTACAGCCCTAATAGTTAATGTTATGAATTTATTAATGCTTTGGGTTGTTATTTTCTTAAGATAAGCATGATCACATTTTCAGAATTCAATGAACTGTGTTGCACCTCACAGTGACTATTCATTTGTTAAACTAATTGCCAGAGAAGAGAACATTAGGGCTGGTGTTAAATTGATGGATTAGTACATCAGTAAATTTGCCTATGATTCTAATCTGCATGCCTTTCTTTACCTGCATGTTTTTGATACCTTCCTACTTTCCATAAATGCATGTTTTTCTTTAAAAACTATTGACATAGATTGCAACTGCTTTGATGGGTTTTGCCCCATGCATATTTACAAGCCTCTCAAACCAATGACCTGTATTTCTGTAACAAGATCAATATATCTGAATCACATCAGACTTTTTGTGCTGTGAGTGCCTTTAGAGCAATAAACTGTGGCTTAAACAGGGCTTTAAAAGTTTGATGAATGAATGTCTTGTTTTCGAAACTTGATTTTTCTTCCTAAATATTCTTGCAGGCCAGAAATAGTGTAGTTTAGAAACTAATGTAAATTATGCATTACTTTAATATTTTTTTGTATAGAGCAACACTTTAGGTTAAGTTAACCAAAAACGCATCAATAGACAAAAATTAATAGCTCTTTTAGAAGTATCATGTTAAATCTTAATTATCATGTTCCGTATTACATAATGTTTAATAACATTTTTAGGTCTGATAAAGTCACATACTTGAATTTTTAGCCAGAAATCATATTAACTAAAATTACATGTATAATGATGTTACTGCTTTCATAAATAATGGTTAGAGTGGGCTCTGGGAGAGCACCACAAGGGAAGGACTTACATTTTCTGTGGGTCTTCCCTACGTATCCACCAGAGAGACCTGGTGGTAAGAGCGTACTTGATTAGTTGAACCTTTAAATTTCATGGAGGTTAGCAATTCCTATGCTCATCAGTGTCTCAAAGTAGGTAAGGGAGGATGGACAGCATAGCTGACCAAAAGCAGTTTGACTTGCTTTAAAACATTATTGATGAGGAGACAAGTATGCAAAACACTTGAAGCAAGCAATGAAGATGTGACAACGAAGGTGATTTTTTTTTTGTTTAGTTATTTTTCAAACCAAAAGGGATTGCAAGTCTGTTGAGTAAAATTAGGTGCTTTCGTCTTTGTGAGAGTAATTTTAGCCCGAAGCATTCTCTTTGTTCTTCCATGTGATCATATGGGTGGATTGATTTTTACTGTAGCGTGAGAGTAATGCACTCCATTAATTCTGATTAGCTGTCTCCTCAGTATTAGTGGTTTGTGTCCTTGCAAGGCCAAAATCATGTACCACAGTTGCTCTTAAAAATTCAACATTCAGAAAAGTTTTTTGTACCATTAACTTTGAGATAAATGTAGTAATATCTGACACAATGGAAATTGTGGCTGGAATTTCAGGAATCGCTGCATGGGTTACAGTGCTACATGTTTTAAATATTTTCTTTTTAATGGTGACTAATGTCCTTGTCAGAGATACTTATCTTCCCTCTCAAAAAGTCTAATTTTCTTTTAACTAACAAATGTTTCTCTTTAATCTTCATTTGTCCAATCAACTGCTGATTCTGATGGGGGAATAAAAGCAAAACTTCTAGAAGAATGTAAGTTCCTGTCCACAAAAATTAGGCTGTGTGCTGCTGAAAATTAATACTGATCGTGTTGCTAATTAAATTTGCAGTCCAAAAATGTGTGATTCTGACATTTTGTTGATAATTTGGTTTGCTGTAACTAGATGTTTTGTGCATGCAGTGTTCAGAAAATACTACTATATGTAAATCAGTGTTCTGAAACTTTGAACAAATTAATTGTTTGATTTTTGATAGTGTGCTATCTGAACATTAAAATCCTTACTCAATATCAGCATGAGCAGTGTTTCACCACTACTTTCAGGAGTAAATATATTTGATTAAAAAAAATCAATTGGCATATATGTGCTTATGTACTATTTCATGTGTCCAAGTTGGAGATAACTTTTGTATCCTTAAAAACCAGTAGATACAGTTATTTAAGTAGACCTAATTTTTTATGTGATCTCCTAAGTCAGCTGTAGTGTCATGGCTAATTTAATAAGTTTTAAGTGCAGTGCATAGCATGAGACTGGAGACTTCAGGTCTTTGGTGTGCATCAGATGGAATATCCTGTATGTTGGGCAGTGTCCCAGAATCACAGAATATTCATGGTTGGAATGGACCTTTGAGATCATCGAGTCCAACCACAAAACCAAACCAAAAAAAAAACCAAACCAAAACAAAACCCAAACCAACACACACACCCCACACACACACCCACAGACAGACAAAACCCAACAATCTCAGGCATTAGAGCATGCCCTGAAGAGCCACGTCTACACGTTTCTTAAATACTTCCAGGGATGGTGACTCCACCACCTCCCTGGGCAGGCTGTTCCAGTGCCTGACCACCTTCTCAGTAAAGTAATTCTTCCTAATATCTGATCTAAACCTCCCCTGTCACAACTTTAGACCATTTCCTCTGGTCCTGTCGTTATTCAGTTTGGAGAAGAGGCCAACACCCACCTCTCTAAAACCTCCTTTCAGGTAGTTGTAGAGGGCAATGAGGTCTCCCCTCAGCCTCCTCTTCTCCAAACTAAACATGCCCAGTTCCCTCAGCCTTTCCTCATATGACTTTTTCTCTAGACCCCTCACCAGCTTGGTGGCTCTCCTCTGGACGCGCTCAGCAGCTCAGTGTCCTTCCTGTAGGGAGGGGCCCAAAACTGAACACAGTACTCGAGGTGAGGCCTCACCAGGGCCGAGTACAGAGGCACGATGACTTCCCTACTCCTGCTGGCCACACTATTCCTGATACAGGCCAGGATGCTGTTGGCCTTCTTGGCCACGTGGGTACACTGCTGGCTCATGTTAAGCCGGCTGTTCACCAACACCCCCAGGTCCTTTTCTGCTGGGCAGCTCTCCAGCCACTCTTCCCCAAGCCTGGGGGTTGCCCGGGGTTGTTGTGACCAAAATGCAGGACCCGGCACTTGGCCTTATTAAACCTCATCCCATTGGCTTTGGCCCATTGATCCAGTCTGTCCAAAGTGTATTGCTGGACAATTTAGGGCATTTAGATAAGGGTGTTCATGGACATGTTATTAAAGCAGTTCCTTTAGGTGACACTAAGCTATAAACATGTGAACATTGAGGAAGATACCTTTCTCACTATCTTAATACCATAAACAGGATTTTTTAAATGCAAAAATGGGCGTAGGTAATGGTAACAGATTATAAATTACTTTAAATTGGTAGGCATCAACTACTTTAATTCTGGTTTGTGATACTCATTCTAGAATACTTGATAAATCATGAATGTTAAGTGTTTGTTTCTCCTGGGTCTATTTCCAAGATAACTGGATTTTTGTTGGGTTTTTTAAGGAAAATCAGTACCAGACTTTTCCTACATGTTTACTTTATTTGGAAATTAATTACTTTTTTGGTCATTTTTACAGTGTTTTACTTCCAACACGTTTTTTACTCCTGAAAAGTAGCTCCTAAAAGCATGCTTTGTATATTAATTCAATATTGTGAGCACAATAAAAGTGTGACAAGTTTACACCCATAGAGAAACTGGAAATACATAGAATGTTTAGAAATACAAAGCAATGATTTTTTTTTCCTTCTGTGTGGTGAAAAAACGCGTTGTGTGGGTCTGTGTCTCACAGCTCTTCATTCAGGTTATGTTGGACTTAGAATTCAAGCGTCCTTTGGTTTTGTGAAAATGTGTTGAAATCTGATGTATAGAAACTATATCCATTAAAGTTTTTGGCCAAGATCTTAATCTGCTGTAAATCAGCATAGTTCAGTTGGAAGTTAGTATAGCTGCACTGATTTACAAGAATAGAGGGCTTCAGCCTCCTAATATAAAGGATACTTTAATCTCACTCTTCTCACAGTGATTTGATTGCTAATTGCACTTCTGCTTTCTCTGCTTACAAAACTGTCTCACTGCTGATTTGAAAATATTGTTAAATTCTTCTCTGTTTCTTATATTCCATAATGAAGTGTTGCAACCTCCTACGATAATTCAGCAATCTCCAAAAGATTACATTGTTGACCCTCGAGAGAATATTGTAATACAGTGTGAAGCAAAAGGAAAGCCACCTCCTAGGTTAGTAGCATCTTGTTTTGCTTTTGTTGGCCTAACAACATAAGAAAACTAGGAGAAAATAATGTAACTTTTAATGTAACGTGTTATATTTATATGTGTGTGTGTGTGTTTGCATATGCAGAAACATGCACGCACTCCTGCATTTGTAACTTAAACAGCTACCAGGTAGTGGCATAAATTTGACTCTTCTTAGCCTTGGCATTTAAAGTTCTCTATATTCACTATAATAGTTTTTTTTTCTCTTCAAAGCTCTAACAATAAAATAGTACTCGATTATTACAGGAGCAGGTAGGTAAATGCCCATGGAAAGCACTTAATGCACGCCATCATATGAACTGGATCACATTCCAGATTTAGGCATGGGGTCTAAGAAGACTGGATATCGAATAAATTCAGAGTACACTAAACAGATTTAATGTTTTGTAAATTATTCCATTTTATGAGGGTCAACTTGAAGCGTTTTGTTGGAAGTTCTATAATGTGTATCAGTTTTAATGATCAGTAGCCTTGATTTACCAAGTGTAGTTAATAGCCTTAAGTTTTGGTTTTGGCAGAAATGGTAACGCTGTGTACATAGATAGGATTCCTCATAATCTTCCATTTTAAGGCTCTGTTTCAGTATCTTGAAATATTTGAAAACAAACTCATTTCAAGATACTGAGTTACCTGCACTGGAAACAGCAGTAGGCATGATGCATTCTGTCATTGCAGTAACTGCTTCTGATTTCAGAGACTATAAAGAGAAGTGCGCATCTCTGTTCTCAGTAGTGTTATGCTACAGCTTACTGTAAGGTCAGCACATAATTGCTCATTCAGACACACGCAGAGCTCATTAAATGCACTTCTGAATAATTAGGGTATTTTCTACATTATTCCTTCTGGTTGCTTTGGGATCATGTTTGTTATCATGCCGGGCAGCAGAATGGAGAAGATGGAGATTATCTGTGGTACTGTCACCCTGTCTAGTGTTCTGTTAATGGTAGGAGTGCCATAAAACTGCTGTGTTTACCAACATTTTAATTTAGCAGGCACAATGCCATTCTCAAGAGTCTGGGTGTTGACCCAGAGGATCAGATGATTAATGTGCACTTTGGGACAGCTATGCTGCTTCTGCAAATGTTTCTCTTGAAGGCCTTTTTTGGGCTGGATAGACCTGAGAGACTAAGAGCACTGTCCGTGAGACTGACATATTGGAGTCATGTGCCAGGGCTTTGCTGTACGGTCTCAGCTTTTCCATCAAACCATTTTCTCACTTTGTTCCCTTGCTACAGAAAAAGTGACATGATTTAAGTACAGAATTTTCTAATGAAAAGCTTGTGCTTAGTTTTGCTTATTTTTAAAGATACAACATCCAAATGCTTTATTTCAATAGTTAGTCTGGTCCATCAGTTTTGGTGACCTGCAAATGCATATAGGAACTTGAACTGCTTCAAAGCTCTGAAGCTGAAGATGAACTTTGTCAGCCCGGTGTGTGAATTGTTGTTAAAACAGGGTAACTTCTTATTGGTGAGAGCAGATGGCATAAAGGTTTATGGATGTTCTGCTACCTATAGCTTGAGCAGCAAAGATTCTGACTATAACGTATCTCAAATTCAGGGTGTTTTACCACATTTGTCACCTCCCTTTTGAAGCTACATTGCAGTTCCCTGCATCCTTCAGGGTTATTGGTAGCAGAGGAATACAGGAACCCCATATTCTCCAGTTTCACCTGCAAGGTCATAAGAAGGTTGTTCACTATTGGTTCACTATGCACACTAGTCCTCCCAAAAGCACTGTACTGTGGTGAAGTGCTCCTGGTCAGGTCCACTTCTTCTGCTCTGCCCCACCACAAAGTGCAAATAGTGCGTCCAGTCTTTCCTACAGAAGGTCAGCACACAATTGACACCTACTTGACTGCAGAAGGTCAGCCCACTATTTTGAGTCACTTGAAATTTGAGCTTTTCTAGTAGCATATATGTTTGTACTTTGAGGAAGCATTCTAAACAGTAAGTATATGTAGTGTTTGTGTTTAACATTAGGAAGCTGAAATGTAGCAATTAGGAAAACTGCTGTTCACAACATTTGAACCTGTGAGCGCTCAGCACTTCGCAGGCATTGGTCTAGCTCTCTCTAACTATATTTTGGCCATTAACAAAGCATAAGTAAGAAATTGCTGTTTATGGCAGTATAAGTGGCAGACTGTGAATCTCTGCTTTTTTACTTTTTTTTGTATGAGTTCTAGTAGATTTCATTTTTAGCAACTACTTTTCAAAACATCTCTTGCTTTGACCAACACCAGTATAAATTTACTAGATTAATTACAGGCTATCAGACTGCAAAATTTCGTTTAGAGGATCATGGTTGGTTGCGTTAGAGTAGTGAAAAGAAATCAAACTCACCACACGGTCTTTAATTCACTTGCACAACTTTAAAATGGCCAAACCAATTAAAAGAAATGGTCTCCTGCTGGGACCTGAGATGACACATTTCAGCCCAGAGCAAGTTTTTAAAGGCAGGTTTATAAACCCTTTCAACAATAGGTTTTGTAATGGAAATGCTAATGCAGCTTTAGCAATATCAGTTCTCGCAGATGTTACTGCATCATTTTAAGTAAAAAGAAAGTAAGTTCTTTTCCGTATAAGATTAACTTCAGAATCTTTTAATGGTTTTCTTTTTTTTTTTACAATATTGACTTTGAAATGGCTCCTGTTAACACGTTCATCCAAGCCTTTTATCTTAAAGTATTGACAGATTTCTTACATTAAAAAGTGCTCTATTACTTTATTAGTTAATTTACTTTGGGAACAAGTCTTACTTATCTGCTGAAGAAAAAATGCCATGTATTATTGAAAATTACTTTTTAATTTTTTTTTTCTCCATGCAATTTACAAAAGGCAACTGAAGAAGAAACTGTTCTTTTTGGTTTTATTATTTTAGCTTCTCCTGGACACGCAATGGAACTCATTTTGATATAGATAAAGATGCACTGGTAACAATGAAACCAAATTCAGGGACCCTTGTTGTAAATATTATGAATGGTGGGAAGGCAGAAGCATATGAAGGCGTATACCAGTGTACAGCAAGGAATGAACGAGGAGCAGCCATTTCCAACAATATTGTTATAAGGCCTTCTAGTAAGTGAAGCTCTTAATGTTCGTAACATGTGAAACACTTCAGTTCGTTTATTATCTTATGAATGTTTAGCTTTTTTATTCCTGTCTTAAAAATTTAATCATCAAAGTGATCATGTTAGAAGGTATTATATAGTTTCTGATCTTCAAATTTAATAATGTAACGCATGTTCTCTCCAATATTCCTTAGAAAATTTATCAACCAAAATGCTTTCTTGATGTTTTTTGGTACATCTGGATGACGTGTTTAAAATTAGGTTGTATATATGATGCTACAATTAGAACAAAAATGTTCAAATCCTTAATGCACATCATTGTTGAGGACAATTTTTTACTCTCTTTCTGATGCATGTATTCCATAGTATTTGTAATATCTTCAATACAGAACACACTGGGACCACAAAGAGGGTAAACGTAGAAGATTTTGATTAATAGTTGGCTGTTTCTATGGCTTTTTATGTGATATTTGTCTCAGATCAGTTTTTCAAGCTTCTCAGCTTAAATGTTCTGTTCTCATGTGTTGTAATAAAACTGTGTGTGTTTAATACTGTTTCAGGAAGTTCTACCTTTTTTCTAATTTAGTGCATCACTTTTCTCTTTTTTTTGCATTATCTTAGTTAAAACCTTCCAAGACACTGTTATAGAACCTTTAGTCAGTAGCCACAATAATTTGGATCACTTGATTATACTTTCAGTGAATCATTGCTATAAAAAAAGATTTAAAGAAAACCTCCTTTTCTCCTAGGAAAACATGAAAAGAAGAACAAAAATTAAATCTGTAGTAAACATGATAGAACTTAACATTCTGATGCATGTATTTCTTCTGGTTTTCTGGAATATTATGGACATTTCTTCCTTAAATTCTGGAATTTTTGTCAATCCATAATTTGTGTGTGTGTTAAAATTGCTTTCTGTAGGATCTCCTTTGTGGACGAAAGAAAAACTAGAACCAAATCACGTTCGAGAAGGTGATTCACTAGTACTACACTGCAGACCTCCTGTTGGCTTGCCACCACCTATAATATTTTGGATGGATAATGGTGAGCTTGGTTTTTATGCAGAATTAGTTTTCTTTTTGCAGTTTTTCTACATAGTTGATCATTGCTTACCAAGACCACAGATGGTGGAGTTTCCCTCTGTGTTAAAATTCAAAGAATTTCCATTTCTGTATGAACAAATGAAAAGCAGATATGCAGTCCGAAGGCACAAATCCAAAAGCAGCTGGAGATCTTAGTGTAAGTTGTAGATTAACACACTGGGGAAGAACGGGAAGATAAGGGAGCTCGAGAGGAAGCTTAGAAAAGTCTATGTATTTACAAATCTGCAAACAGTGTAATAGATCATAATAATGGAGTGTGTATTATAACTGTGATATAAATGTTTTCATGTTTTCCCTTAGCTTTCCAAAGGCTGCCTCAAAGTGAAAGAGTTTCCCAAGGTCTAAATGGAGACCTTTATTTTTCAAATGTACAACCAGAAGATACCCGGGAGGACTATATCTGCTATGCAAGATTTAATCATACGCAAACTATACAGCAGAAACAACCCATTTCTGTAAAAGTCTTTTCAAGTAGGTATTGCATTACCTAATTACATACTTACAAAGTATTTATCCAGAATTCTCAAGTTATTTGCCAAAGTTAAGTAGTGTTACGCTAGGGAATTTCGTCATTTTAATTCTGAGTAAGAAATGGCAGTACTGTATAAACTTAAACTGTACTCTCCAGTATTCCTGACATAAAATTCATCTTAAAAGCTCTCATTTTTTTCCCTTTATCAGGCTTTGTCTTTTGAAAAAATGTTGTGAAGCTTTGAAATATTGAAAAAATAACAGTTTTTAAATGGTTTTCATGCCCAAGAATATCAAGTTATTATGATTACCGTAACTATTGAAACAAATTAATCAATCATTTAACTCACCGTGGCCATATCATCACCTTTTGATTCCCAGTATTTTGATTTATCCCTCTTGTATGCATTCTTCATGATATTCTGTTTATTTCAGTGGATTCATTGAATGACACTATAGCTGCTAATTTGAGTGACACTGATATTTATGGTGGTGAGTTACACTGGTCCCCACTGATACTCCCTGTTGCACAGTAGTGTTTAGTTAACTAACTTCACCTCCATGGCTACTTAACCTTTTGCTTCCTTTTCAGTTTCTAATAAGGGTATCTACTAGTGCTGGTGATAATACATACTTTAGAAAGGACTGCACAGTGTGATCCTTTCAAGTATCTAATGTTTCAATGCTATTGTAACATATGGCTCATAAAAAATACAAACTCTTAGAATAAATGAGTCCTTTCACACTGGGGCAGATGTTAAAAATTGTCTATATGATATCTACTATACTGTATTGTTTGTTCATATTTTTCCTCCAATTTCACTAGTAGTTTGATATGTTCATTATCACTAGGACTATTCACTATCACGTGCTGCGTAATAAGTAACAACAATTAAGCATTTAACAACGGCACTTCACATTTAATAGTTTTCTCAATGTGCCATGCATTTTTAACATATTTAATGTAAAACTGGAATTAATTAAAAACTAAACACTTTAATACTATCTGTTTAAGTATCTTTGTAGGGGAAAGATGAGTATTGTTTGTCTGGTGTTTAAGCTGATCTTTACATTAATCTGTGTTGAATGGTCTTTTGTATATTGTGAATTAATACTCCGTACAGGTATATGTGTGTTTAGTGAGGCTGACTTTGGAGCAACACTGATACCATAACACTTCAGGTTCTAGACTCTCCACTTGATGTTGTGTGAGATAGAGAATATATGATATTTCTTCTATTTTTGTCTTTTTCCTTGTCAAATGAGGCTTTGTACATATTAAACTATAACTTATGGGACGCTAAAATGAAACAAGAGCACAGAATATTTTAATTCTCTGCATAAAAATAAGATGCCATTCAGAAGCAAACAAGAAACATGTACCTAGACACGGAACGATATATTAGCTACAGTTAGTGAGGAAAACTCCATTTGGTAGGCTCACAACTCAGAAATACCAGAGGTAATTCCTCTGAATTTTCACAGTCTAGGAAAATGAGTCGGCAGTCCTTAGCAGCACCTAAACTGGGTAGATTAGTTATTGCCTGGGACTATCAGCTGCATTGTTGATTCTAGACCAGCCTTTTCTCCCAACTTTAGTGTTTTTTAGGGAATACATAGCACATACCGTAGTAAAGCTCAGTGTTCTGTTTATGTTAATCTATCAGCAAATCCCGTACCCTAATAAACAAGAGTTCAGTATGTTTCTGCTCACATTTAAAAAAAATACAGTAATTTACTCTACTGATTCAGACTGCTACTGCACTTTACAGCAATTCAATCCCATATTTTAAAATTCTATAAAAGAACATTAGAGTATTTACAGAAAGCACTCTATTATTACAAAAAGCACTCTTATTCTGACTTCCATGAAGGCAAATGAAATACCATAATACTTCAAAAGCCAACAGAATATAATGTCAGAAATGGGTCTTACATTTATAGCTGTGTGTTCACTGTGGTTATTTCTTGTGGGTTAATCAATGGTTCTTTATTACCAGACTGGGAAACAGCTTGAATTAAAGTTAAATATATAGTAAGAAGAGAATACAAGGCTTCTAGACGCGTCATGTTGTCTAGAAAATATTGAACAAAGCATATTGCAAAGTGGGGTGTACCATTTATCCCCTTGGTTTATAGTTCTGAATACAGTAACTTTGCTTTATTTGTGTTTTGATGGAAGCCCAGAAATTTTTGGTAACTTTCAGTCTTGCACTATGACTCACATCAGTGACCTCTTATTCCCCATAATAGTTTGAGTAGGATTAAGGCTTAGCAAACATCCATCAGGCTGCATCGTTGCCCATGTTAAAACTATGTATCGATTGCTTCTGTCTTTAATAATAACATTTTTCATGTATGTGTTTAAAATTATAGCATTTAACAAGTTGAGGTATGTTATGTCTGTCCAAAATCTAATTTGTTGAGCTGTGTAGTTGTGTAACACAATGATTTTTATTTAAATGGCGAATGTGGAGTGAAATCTCTGTCCAAACTGTGAAAATGGATGTATGCATTTGATCAGTATTAAAGTAAAATTTAGAAATTCATTATTTTATTTTTTCTTGTTCCAGCGAAGCCAGTTACAGAGAGGCAGCCAGTTCTTCTAACACCAACAGGTAGCACAAGTACCAAAGTGGAACTCAGAGGAAATGTGCTTTTGTTGGAGTGCATTGCAGCAGGATTGTGAGTTACTTTTTAGACAGTGTTTTTCTAAATAATAATACAGAAACAGAAACATTTCAAGATGCTTAAAATGGTGCCTCTGTATAAGCTTAGGTATTTCAAAGAAACAGAAATGTAAAACAGAAAGAGCTCTTTTACAGAAGTCCACCGTTTTCTTGGGCATCAGCAGATTTTAAAACTGACTTATGAACATAAATATGGCCTCTGCCTTCTTATATCCCCAAACCCTACATAAAGGATTCATGTTGTACGATTGTTTTTTTTAAAGGACAGAGAGAAGAAGTGCCATAGGGTAATCTCAGACACACATCTGCGGAATTGCACTCAGGAGCCTCCATTTTTTCCTGAATTCACAATCAGGTTTTCAAGTATAGATAAGAATATAGATAAGAATCTGCTGGTCTAATCTCAAAAAGCTGCTTGCATATGCTAATACTTACTTAGTAGATCAGCTAGGTGGGAGTTGTTAGAACATACCTTCAGCTCCTTACATCCAGTTTCTCATTGTGAGTTTAATTGGTAGTTGTTTCTTGGATGTAATGCACATTTGCTTCTGCTGGTTATTGTGCAAGTGGAAAATGACTAAAGAGCAATTTAACTTCATTAACTAGTTTGATCTTAAATCAATTTTATTATCAGGAAGAAATCTGAGAATAGATTGGTTAATGCAGGAGTGGAAAATCTTTAGTACCTGTTTCAGGAACTGTAAACATGTTTACAGTGCACAAAGGCATATAATGCAGAGTGCTCCGAGGTAGCTGTGAGGAAAGCCAATAACTGCAAATGATGAAGCACAGCATCATGCATATGTATTCACTTGCATAAGCTCTACGGGGCACGCTCAAGCTCAGCTTGACACAGCTTGAGACGAGCCTGAGTGCTGTGTTTCTGTCTCAGCTGTGGTCTCCTCTGGTGTCTTTGCATCAGCACCACCAGCAAAACCACACCTCTGAGTGGGAGTAGCATCAGCTCCAGGAATCTTCATCTGCAGTATAGTTACATGCTTTTTTGGTAACCCTGCAATAGAAGTATTCAGCAATGCAAACTCCAGTAAAATGGCTGGATAAAAAGAGAAAAAAATTAGAATAGTATACATTATCTGACTTTGTGTCTTTAACCCTTATGTAACTTTTTAAAAAAATAATTCAATGAGGGAAGCTATATAGTTGTCCACAAAGGGCCAGATTCAGATTTAGTTTAAAACAATTATTCCTAATTACTAAAACCGTAAATAAAGTCAACTTTGCTAAGTGTCTCTGTTATAAAATAAGTTATATTAGACTGATAAAGGAATATTAGCCTTGAGTCATTACTATTTGAGAGAGGACATTCTACTCAGTAAGCAACACCTTGTAATTTCTTGTAATTTTAAAAATACATCTCCCTGTGTTTGGACAACTTTCAACTTCCGTGGACAGCATGTGACATAGCCAAGATTTAGACATGGTGCAGTGACAAGTAGCTATACTTGACTCAGCACTGACAGTTTTTTCTTGATTTCTCACAGGAAATGTTTCTGTCTCCTTCCAGTTCTGCTGTAAAATCTATGACGTTCATGAAGCATTGGGATATTGCGCATGTGAAGGACAATTATAAACTTGGCATTATCTAGAAGCTACCTTTTAAAGCACCATGAGCATCAATTTAATAGTAGAAGTGCGATAAGATTTGAAATATACTTGTATTCATTTATTAACCATCAGGGGTTTTAGATTAATCAGCAGACAAATGTATTCCATAATTATTAAGCCTACGAACAGATGGCCGTTGACAGTGTTAGTGAGGCTTGTCATTTCCTAGAAACAAGTGCTGGCATATTTTGCACATTTGCTGGATGTGCCCCAGAATCTGGGTAAAGGCTCTTAAAATAATTAGTTGTAAAATATATGTTCAAAAAATTAATGTATTGAACTCCCGTTCTTCCTTTTCTCCAGTCCCTAAATCCGATCTCTCCTTTTGCTTCTCCAGACCCACACCGGTAATCCGCTGGATTAAAGAGGGTGGGGAACTGCCAGCCAACAGAACATTTTTTGAAAACTTTAAGAAAACTCTCAAGATTATAGATGTTTCTGAAGCTGACTCTGGGAACTACAAATGTATAGCAAGAAATACATTAGGTTCTGCTCATCATGTCATTTCAGTAACTGTAAAAGGTAATACTAAAATAATCCGTAATGTAATATTGTCAGTGTACAGAATGAGGATTGAAGTAAACTTTCTAGGGTAAAATATAGCTGAAAAGATAAGCAATAATGGTAAAAAAAAAATCCCTGAGGAAATTATCATTAAACCAACTGAATTCTACCACTGGAAGGACTTAACTGTTATCTCTAATATCTTTTTATTTTTTTTAATATGTTATTTTGTAAAGCATTGGGCTAATTTGAGATTGTACTGTAACAGTATAATAATTTCTTAGCTTGTACCAGTGCTACATTTATTTTAGATCCTTTGATTATCTGTCATTAGACTGCTTCTTTCCCTCGTTTATGTATCTTTCTCCCTATCTCTCTTCTTCATCTCCTCCTTATTTTCTCCATCTTTTCTTCTATCCATTCATATAGCACAAATTCTGTCTTCTCTGTTTTACTGTTGTCTTACAGTCTTATACTCTTCTTTCTTTATCTCTCTTAATTTACATTTCTAGTTTTCTATCTTCTTCATGTGTTTTACCCAAGATGATGTCTTACTAATTCTAAAAATACTTACAGTCTGTTTGTCCAAATAGGAATTGTAAGTATGTTTTGAATACCATGAAACAAAAAAACTGGAATGACAGCTCATTAGTCATTGAAATAATCAACTGCAGTGCTTATTTTGCATGCTAAATAGCTAATTATTTTATTGTAGACCAGCATCATTTTATGATCACATTCAACCTCCTTTTTAACAGCAGCAGTTTAATTTTCTGTTTGCATCTGTCCATCAATCCAAAATCTGAAATTTAATTGCAATATGTGATAACATATGCTATTTGTGGTTATTTATTGTAAAAGAAATGGAGACACAGATGAATATGTTTCAGTGAGGACAGTGTTCCATCCATTTTGATCTCTGTGTGTTTTCAGCTGTCTCAGGTAAACATCTGGCCCCACTGCAATTCCCATTGAATTCAGCAAGACCGAGGATTTTGCCATTTCTAAATTTCAATGAAATATTTTTATGTAATCAAACCTAAGTTAATTTCTACCAGTCTAACTGTTGTGAACATGGATATCTCTGAAATTAATCAAAAAGATCACTCTAGTCTCTCCAGATGCCATCCTCAGATAAATTTTGCTTTCTTTAGGAAAGGAAATAAGGATTCAAAGCAGGCAACCCTAAATGAAACAAAGAACCTCATGTTGCTTATCTCAGAATTTTAATGCAGCGGGTGGCCAATAGCTCAGTTTAGTCAAAGTATAAACTGCCAGTTTATCACTTGAGTATGAGATATATATATATATATCATACCTTGTTTGAATTATCTTTTGCTTACCATGACTGTGCTTTATGTTTTTCTGTACATAATTTTGGTAAACAATTCCTGTGTTTCTGTTCCTAACCCCAGCTGCCCCATACTGGATAACAGCACCCAGAAACTTGGTCTTATCTCCTGGAGAAGATGGGACGTTGATCTGCAGAGCTAACGGCAACCCAAAGCCTGATATAACCTGGTTAGCAAATGGTGTTCCCATAGCAAGTAAGATTCTTAGTTACCTTATGGGAGGATGAGTAAAGATATGAGGAATACTAGGGTCGTTTTTTTCAAAAGCGTGTATTTGAACAGTTTTTCCCTGACAGGTAAAAGTAACTTATAAATGAGGTGATAAAAATACTGTGTTTCGTAAAGGTGAAACAACAAAATATGCCTCTAATGTGCTTGAAAGCACTAAAATTTGTGACTGTGCTCCTGGTTGTTCTGTGTGATGTTCTGCTGGTGCTATCTTTGTGGAGATGGGGCTGTAGCCCCAAAGCTGTGCCATCCATGCCTCTTTGACAGGGATATTGCTGGGGTGTAACTTTCACTGCTGTGTTTCCGTGACAGTCGTGTTTGCTAGTTTTCTCCTCTGCCGCCCCACTGCAACACTAATTTTGTCTAGGAATCGTAAAGGTGACATAAAAAGTCAAGTCCTCGTGTCTGTGGATGTATGGAGCACTTCTGCAGGATTTGCAGCTATGAGTGTGTTTGAGCCTTCCGGGCTTCAGCGCTGAAAAGCAGCAGCAGCAAAAGTGACTGAATGCGTCAGCGAGTGCCTGGCAAACAGCTTGTGCCAAGTAGGTGTCAAAGAAAAGGAACCTCTAAGGCAAGGAAACAGCTGTTTCTGTGTGCATTGGTAAGAAAAGCAACCCTGAATTGGTGATTGAGTCACTTAATTGTTGCAGTGTTATGACTGGCAATGCTGCGTGGCAGACACGAGATAGCTGCTATATATAGCACAGCTTTCCTTGGGAAGAACTTCCTGGAGGACACTGCAGTTGGGTGTGCACTCGGCATAGCCTGTACCGTAGAGTCACACTCGGTTCTTCTACCTTTATCCTTCCTCTTTCACAAATCAGTGTTATAAAAACAGTCAGTCTACGCCATTGTCTCATGAAAGATAATGTGCTCTAAAATACTGTGCTGACCCATTGAAAGTGGGGCAGCGTAACTTTTAGGAGTTTCAGGAGATCTTTAAGTCTGTTGATGAAGTAAATGTCACAGAGTTAGGGACATAGAGGAGTATGGTGAGAATCTAGGAAATAGCAACAGGTAAATGAGAACACAGATATATTCAAAATATTCGGGACACAAGAGAGATTAAACTGAACTGGAGGGAAAGATACGCAACTTTGGGAGGAAAAGTAATGGTGTATATTGAAACAAATAAGAAATATTTAACAAAGAACCTGTTTCAGGAATCCTAATTAGATGGAATCCTAATTAGATGGGATTTAGAATGAGAAGTTTCCCTTGGTTAAATAAGTTATTGTGAGAACCCGACAGAACCAGGTACAGAACTGTTAGGACCAGGCCTAACAGTTATGTAAGCTGACATTAACCACCTCATCAAACAATAGTATGACAGGAAAATATGAAAATTTCAATGTAATTTTGTGTTGTATATATTGTAGGTAAATATATCTTTGTGTGTGTCTTGTATCAAACTTAGGTACCTGCCCTGCTTTTTTCTTTCTGTGTTTAGGGTGGTCTCATCTTCATACTATTGTCGTTATAGTTACCATTAACTTGTTTGTTTGTTTGTTTTAAGGAGTTTTTTATCCTGCTGTCCTGATAGTTTAACTCTTCCTTTCAGGCCTCCTGACTAGTAAAATGGTTTTTTGCCTGGTGACAAGGTTCACCTTTGCCTCGTACTGCTTCCTTGTCAAAGCTGTAGGACATGCTGTTCAACTGACAGACATTTTCCAGAGAAGCAATGATGTGTCCTGCATTCTTGCAGGAGAGTAGTAAATCATTAAGAAACAGAGAGTTTTTCAAAGCAGCTGCAGGATGCCAATGAATCTCCCAAATAACAGGGCATCATATATGTGCTGGCTGGCCTTGAGGAGTCAGTACACAAAGTCTTATTGAAGGGAACTCAATAAAAATTAAGAGACTTTAATTCAATAACCCACTCAACCTCAGTAGGGGAAAAAAAAAAAAGAACATAGGAAATAAGTAACTGGGTAGCCCAGCCTGACTTTAAAGGTCGGTCACTTTCACTGCTGAGAAAAGCTGAAGTTTTTTCCAACTTAAATATTTAAGTGCAAGTTGATTGGATGCTCCAGTTCACTAATTCTGTCAGGACATGTAAGAAAGAGAATCACCGTGATCCCAGAAAGGGCGGTTCTTAAGGTTCTTATGATTTTGTATTATTCTGAGTCATGAAAAGCTGGTCTGGAAACTATCAAGTACAGTATGCCTTTTTGTTCACTTGTTGCTAAATTATAGAATTGGGCCCCTCGTCTTCCAACTGACTGATTAGTGAATCACTGTAAAAGGAAACTAAAGCAGCTGTTTCAGCTTCAGGGCAGTGCTGAGAGAGATACACCCATGGCAGGATTTCAAAGAAAAAGAGCTACATTTGAATTTCAAAGCCCTGCTGTCATCGTATATCCCACAATGTGCCTCCTGTGGCCCAGTAATCTGTTTGCAATACTTTAATTTTCTATTGGAAAGCACAACTGGGAGATGCTTAATTCTTCCGGTTTTGTTTTTCCATAATAGAGTCAGACAAGGAGGGGGAATGTTGAAGAAAGAACCATTCGTCCATATCTCAGTCAAAGGGTGAGGCTTAAAAACCGAAAGGAAGAAGGGAAGAATAAAGCAAAATGTACTGTGTTCTTAAGCACCTATTAAAAAAAAAATTGCAACAGTGTCCAGATTATGTTAATCAGAGTAAAAATATATTTGTAAAGGAAGATGTTAGGTTTCTTTGAAATATTTAAATTAATTTTCTTAACAATAACGCTTACAAGAAAAACCTCAGCATGTCTGAAAAGAAAGCTGCTTCAGATGTGCTGGAGTGATAAGGACCTAACCTCCTAATATTTACTCACAGGAGTAATTTGAACTCACATGCACAGTCCCGTTGAGGTCAATTAGAATTAGTTTGGCAACTAGCAATTGAAAGTTCAGGCCATGACTCCGCTTCGCCTTGTGCTTCAATTAACACTCAAGATCTGCATTATTTATACCACTGCATAATCCGTTGTGTTTTACTGCTTAGATATTCAGTGTGGTTTTACAAAAGGGAAACCATGCATAAAGTATCTCAACTTTTAAGAAAGTAACAACCCAGATTAATTGGAAGGGGAAGCACCTTCATAATTGGACTTCAGAAAGGCATTGCAAATACTGCACAAAAGACTAATTTATTGGTTCAGTGGTTATAGTTCATGATGAGCTATTAAATATTTAATACACACACTTGGACTTATACAAAGTAGTGCACTGAAAGGCGCTGTTTATCATCATTCAACATGTTCTTCACTTGTTTATATCACATTTCACATTGAACCGTAGGTTTTAGTTGGTCTCCATCAGTAATTACATTGAATTTAAGGGAGAAACATGAGCCCTTAGATTTCCTTCGTGAAAGGCCTTGATAATCCCTGGCTCAGAGATCTGTCATCCATCGTGTTCTCTGTGAGTAGACACATAAGCTGTTCACCACAGCCATGGGAGGGTAGGGAGAAATCTGCTGGACTCGGATGCCTCGAGATGTTCAGTCTCGGAGAGGAGAGGACTACCAGGGCAGACATTTATCCACTGCTTCTGCTATCATTGTGTTGGAACTGTGCATCTGGCTTAGGAACTGCAGCAGATATGAAAACTTTTGATCATCAGGTTTCTTTATTATGCGGAAGATAGTCAAAGGGTAGTCATGGCTAGTGCAGGTAATGACCTTTGGAGTCCTTTGGAGGTGATAGTACTATCAGAATCAGAAGCTTGGAAACAAGGATTTCAGTGATCACAAAAAAATACTTTCTGAGGAGCAAGTGAGATTAATAAGAAAAGGAAAAGGGCATCTTCTTCCATGTCCGTTCAATGTAAGGGGTAGAGTAAGGCAAAACTGGATTAGTTAAGTTTCTTGGTTTTCTTGCTTAGGTTCACTCTTGGTTTGACACCGTAGGTTCTCAAGTGACTGATGAACTATACTGCCCAGCCTTGCTATTTCACTACCAGTTTTGTGTTCAACCGTATGTTTTATGATCTACAGAAAACCAGGAGGTCTCTCCATAAGGGACATACCTTCTTATGAAGCCAACTCAATGACTATGCATTGGATGTTCCTCCCAATTTTCTTGGCTGGTTGGTTGATAGTATTAAGTCCTGGTTCTGTCACATTGTCTTGTTGTCGTATGTGATCTATCTGAAAAGAAATGTCAAAAATTATGCAAATAATTCTTTTAAAATCTCACTTCAGTCATTCGGTTGTAGTTAGTTTTACCCACAGAAAGACTTTTATATTTTTGAAAATGGCTACTATATACATAAATTACTCATGAATATGAGTTTCTGGAAGAAGTAGCGGGTCAAGAGGAATGATAGGATACTTCTAGCAAAAGTTACTTAATACAAATGATCCTGTGATCCTGTCAGAACTTGAAAAGCATACATGAGCATCACTATACAGGGACCATATGTTTCTGTATTCATATCGTAAAAAAGCACCTAACCTTTACTTTCCTTGTATTTTTCCACAATAACAGGGTCTTCAAAGCTACCTCTGAAGTTAGAATTGTTGAAAAATCATGTCTTAAGAGCCAGTACTGATGTGCTCCCATTTACATTCACTATTATTTGTGCATAAACTTAAGGACAGAATTATAGTAATAGTAGAACTACAACAACCAATATTCAGTATAAAAATCTAAATCAAATAATTGTCTCAGCTTTTCCGAGAAACTAATATTCTGCAAAATGATAGCTCAGCTTTACTAAGGAAATTAGTTACTAAGCCCTGTAACACTTAAACAACAGACTTTGTGTTATTACACTCATTATCCAACAGTCATATATAATGACTGTGAATGCATAGCAGGACTGATTACTTTTGATTCATAACTTTGATTTGCTAAAGAAGAATCAGGCATCTTAAGACAGTAATGAATATTTCTGCTTTTTTCTAAAGAGAAATTATTCTCTGCTTTCACTGTGTCAGTTCTGTGACATTTTACTGATCTATGTAAGGCTAGTTCTTACACATGCCAAAGAAGTATATGTTCTCATCAGTAAAGGAAAAAGGAGTCAAGTCATTTTGTCCTTTTCTTTTCCACCTTGTTTTTAGCCAGAGGGAGTCTCTCGTACAACATCTGAGGATGACATCAGCATTTTCACTATAGAATAGAAACAAACAGTTAGTACTCACATATCCTACAAACTATGATTGTAATCCACAACATGCTTCTCGAAAAAAAATATATGCTACCTTAGGTTACGTCATACTTCTCAAGCAACAAAAAACACCCTATTTCGGCACCCTTTGGGACCTGGAATCTAAGTTATCAGAGCTGTGAACTTCTGATGTCAGCTGGATCTCATACTCACTTTGTTGTATTTCAGAATGTGATAACAATATAAGGAATTATTTTTACATATGGAATATAATATAAGGAACATAACATTATATTGTATATAATAATATTTCCTTCCAGACCTAAGCATAATAATGGGTTTTTAAAGCTGTTCAGAAAGCACATCTCATTCTTCCCTTTTTTCCAGGAAAAAAAGAAGAATGGCAGCATAGTGGTTATTTAAACATACTAAAAAAAGTAATTGCTTGGGCTATCTACAGTTTGTGAAACAGAGGGAAGTGTGTATTCAGATAAACAGAAGGTATGCAGATAAACAGAAGGTATTCAGGGTGCTGATGACCAGCTATGGCAAAATTTTCTGATGGAGGCTGTACCTTCTCTGTATGGGAATATGCTGCACATAGCTGTAGAGTCAAGAAGGTGTCTTATTATACAAAGTGATGGAAAAAACAGGTGAAAACAGGCAATCAGGTGTCTTTTTCCAGAAAGGACATAACCATGTTCATAGCTGAGGCTCTATGTTATTTGGAATAAATGTTGGCTGTTGCAGAGCACACATTCAACTATCTGTAACTGCAGCAGAACTCTTACAACAAATACTCATTACTCATTGTCCCAATTGTATAAAAACATTTTAAGTATTATGTAATTCTATGCTACCTTGCCCGTCAGTTCCAAATTCCAATTCATTAAATACGTCAAAAGCATTTTCCCCTTCTTCTGCAGCCGTCCTGTAATGTGACCAGAATCCGGGTAAAGGCAAAACAAGCAGTGCTTGAGTGGCCCTGCCATCTCTCTCTTTCCCCAGAAAAAGAAAAAAAAGGGATATGGCAGGGCTGAAGTACTGCAAGCCTACTTTACTTCAGTTTTTATTAGCAAGAGCAGCCTTCAGGAATCCTGGGTCCCAGAGGGGACCAGTGGGAAAGGCTGGAGTAAAGTGCACCCTTGGTGGAAGAGGATCAGGTCAAGGAATACATAAGCAAATTTGGACATACATACGTCCAGGTGCGCCCACAAGTGAGGGAGCGGGCAGATGTCATTGCAAGGCCACTCTCAATAATCTTTGATTGATCATGGTAACTGGGAGAAGTGCCCAAAGACTGGAGAGAAGCAAATGTTACTCCTATCTTCAAGAAGAGCAAGAAGGAGAACCCAAGGAACTACAAGCTGGTCAGCCTCACCTTGATCCCTGGGAAAGTAATGGAGCAGCTGATCCTGGAAACTATTTTCAGAGCACATTAAGGACAAAAAGCTACCAGCAGGAGTTAGTGGGGCTTCACCAAGGGAAAGTCATGCTTGACCACCTTGATAAATTTCTATGATTAAATGACTGGCCTGGTAGATGAGGGAACAGTAGTGGATATTGTCTGCCTGGACTTCAGTGAGGCCTTTCGCACTGTCTCATATAAGATCCTTGTAGACAAGCAGTTGATGTATGGGCTGGATAAACAGACAGTGAGGTGGATAGAAAAATAGCTGAACAGCCAGGCCCAGAGAGTGGTGATCAGTGGTTTAGTCCTGTTCGATATCTTCGTTAATAATCTGCATGGTGGGGCAAAGTGTACCCTCAAAAAGTTTGCTGATGACACAAAACTGGGATGGTCATGCTACCATCCAGAGGGACCTCGACAGGCTAGAGAAGAGCAAAGTCTGCACCTGGGGAGGAACAACCCCAGGCAGCAGTACATGCTGGGGGGCCACCCAGCTGAAAAGTAGCTTAGCAGAAATGGACCTGGTGGTCTCTTTTCTGAGAACGGACACCTGCCTCCTTTCCTTCAATTAACTGAAGAAGGATGTATTCCTTAAATACATCAGCAGGAAGCAAAGATTCCCCTTTATTATTTTTTTTTAATATGATAATTTAATGGTTAGATCATTCTTTTAAAATCCAGTTCCTTCTTCAGATAGAGAGTATTGAATTAATGGCTTCCATCTCTCTGAAGGTACCCTGCCATCAGTCTGCAAGATATTATGTATGGGAGTGTGTGTGAAGGAGGGAAGTCTGTGCACCCATGAAAGATGTGCCTGTCTGCAGGATTCAGAGAGCATGAGTGGAGGGGAGCCCAGAGCCCGCGGCAGGGAGTAGCTGTGATTGGAACAGCCGTGGGCAGATCTCCTACCTCCTGGGAGGGCGGGTGTGCTTATTTTCCATTTAGTGGTGATTTGTATGCAGAAACAGACCACTTCTCACAGCTGACTGGCCTGCCTGCTGGGCTACTCACCTGCTCTGTCTATTTTCAGCCCATGAATCTTTTAATGAAAATGACATTTACATAGAACAGGAAGCAATGGGGAACATGGAATACAATAGGAAGTAAAGCAAATGAGGAGAAAAATAAGTGCCAGCAATCCAGATGCCCAGACAATAAGTGTTTAAAATTCCAGTAGTACTTTTTCATTCCTTTCTGAAATGTTTGAATTTGTGATACTGATATTTGAACTCAGAGTGATAGAAGATACAAGTTAAAAATGGAGTCACAAACCATTCTTGAGGCATCTGTTTGGAAATTGGTGTAATGCAAAATAACCCGAAGAGTTGAACCGAGATGGAAATACCCTTAAGCAGGAGCACAGAACTGTGGTCCCCTTCATCTGTCCACTTTCATTCTCTCTTAGAGAATTCAGTAGTGAAATCTTCTCTATGAATCCAAAGAAATAAGAAATTATTTTATATTAGAATGTCTTCCACAAATATACTTATTTTCTCAGGTTCCAATAATATATACAGGTGTCAATGATACAACCAAACTACAATGCATTTATTCATGTGTATGTGCATTTATTTTTAATATTAAATAATTCTTCATTAAATTTAAATATTAATAACACAATGATGTGTTTTTATTTAATATTTACTTAAAATATTAAACTATAGTTTGTGCATTTTTATGTAGTGCGCTGTTACAAGTTTTTTCTCTAAATCCATTCAGTTGTATCATAACTGACAGCTATTATTATTCAGTAATATTTCAGAATCTTATTTTCAATTATATTCTCGATGCTTCTGGGATGCAAGGGCTGTTTTGACAGCTCGGGCCACTACAGAACAGTTGAGGAAGTGGCATTGTATATTTCTTATAAAAGGGAAAGAGTGCCACCTACTGAATTACTATCACTTCTCTCGTGAAGATTTGATTTTGTGTGAAAGAATTAATTATGTTTTACTTTGAGATAGTTTTCAACTGAATAAGGCTATTTTTATGTTTGGATAATTATTTATGGTATAACAACTGATTTGAAAAGCTTAAACGTTTTAAGTCACTGAGGATTGTAAGGTTCCAATGACGCTCAACATAATTTTCTTTAGACACTCAGAAATATTTCCTTATTTTTTGTAGATATTGTCAATATTTGCCTCAATATTGTCATATCAGTATTTTTCGTTTGTAATCCATGCAAAATATGATCTCAGCTTCACTTCCTTGAAATACAAACAACAACAAAAAACCCTCAAAAATGGCAAATCTGCCATCCTGAGTTAAATATTTGTAGAATTGGAGTAACTTCCTTAATCATATTGAAATTTACATCTAACTGGTGAACAGTCACTCAGAAAAATAGAAGGAAAGGCATATTGGTCTTTTGAATTTGTTTCTTCTTTTTAGAAAATATGAAACATATAATCCAACAGCTGTTTAAGAAAAAGAAATTTTTTTTCTTTACACCAACAGTTGCCCCAGAAGATCCTAGCAGAAAGGTAGATGGTGATACCATTATTTTCTCACATGTGCAAGAAAGGTCAAGTGCTGTCTATCAGTGCAATGCTTCTAATGAATATGGATACTTGCTCGCAAACGCATTTGTGAATGTTCTGGGTAAGAAACAGATTTTATATTTTTCAGGCTTTTTATGTATTCAGTTGTCTCCTGCTACTACACGGATTGCATGCTCAAGCCTTGCTTGAGGTCTTCAGTGGGAATGGATGTATTTCCTGAGCCCTGTAAAAGGCAAGGATATACATGCTATATTTCCACTTTCATTATTCTTAAGAGGATAGTTGTGAAAGCTAGGGAAAACCTGGAAGAAATTTTATCTTTTTGTTTGTTTGTTTACATAAATCAAGCAAACTGAAGCGTAAGAAAAAAGGCAGGAATTAATATTCCTTACGTTAATATGTTTCAGTACTCTCTTGTTGATTGTGGGTGTTTTGGATCAGTTAAATAAATTGTCTCTAAATTGCTATTGCAAGGGCACATTTGTCTTGAAAGCCTCCCAATAATGTGTTTCTGGTTAGGAGATGCTGTGCTCTCTCTAATTCTTCTAGCTGAATTTAACAAAGCTAGAAGAAAAATCCTAGGCAGAATCGCCTCTAAGGATCCTCCTTGCAGATCTTTTGATTGAGAGACACTGTCTTTTAAATGATAGAACTCACTTTGGTTCCATAGTTCCTTTAAAAATATAGGTGTTTCACCAAAAATACATCTTAGCTTCTTTCTGCCTGCAGGTTTGTTCAGAATTATGTAGTTCAGTCGGTTCCCAGGAGTTTCTCTTCTTGAAGTATATTCTGATTTAAATTTTCCAAATGAAATCATTGCCTTTGGTGCCAGTCCCTATTACTTGTAAACAAGGAAGATTCATTTGTTTTTCACAAGATAATTCTCCTACATTTCCTCAGGCTACTGGCAGTAGAATGTATTTGTACCTAAACTGAGGCCAGAAATAACTTCAGAGAAGGATGTTGATGTATAATTCTTTCGGCCATTCGTAATATCTTAGTATTTTGTACTCGCATCTTCGTATCTATATCCAGATCTCTTTATCTTTTCAGCTGAGCCACCAAGAATTCTAACTCCTGCTAATAAACTGTATCAAGTCATTGCAGATAGTCCGGCGTTGCTAGACTGTGCTTATTTTGGTTCACCTAAGCCTGAAATTGAATGGTAAGCTATAGTTTTTGTCCTTAAGTTATATAAAAAGAGCCAGTTATATCTATGGAAACAAACATTTAAAGCCTTAAAAATATTTTTACTCAATTTATGATTTTAAAATAGTGTCTTTTTAAATATATGCTGACTACAATACACAAATACAATATTAGAGATACTCAATGTAATAACAGTTAAGTTATCCCTACAGAGTCAAGTTTAAATTTCATGTTTTAATGTCTGTCTGCATTTTCTAATGTAGCAGTCCCAATTAGCATTTTCTGATAATAAAATGGAATAGGATTTAACTATGACATTGGATAATGATACTGCTTATTATATAAAGGTTTAAGGGAGTGAAAGGTAGCATCTTGCGTGGAAATGAATACGTTTTCCATGACAACGGAACCTTGGAAATTCCAGTGGCTCAAAAGGATAGTACTGGTACATACACATGTGTAGCAAGGAATGAATTAGGAAAGATACAAAATGAAGTGCAACTGGAAGTTAAAGGTAAGAAATTAATCACTTGTTCATAACAGGTTAGTATAGAATTGGAGAATTTCTAAATTTCTAATAATAATTTTAAATTTCAGATCCAACAATGATAATTAAACAGCCAGAATACAAAGTGATTCAGAGATATGGCCAAGTCTCATTTGAGTGTATAATAAAACATGATCCCACCTTATTACCAACAGTTGTATGGTTGAAGGACAATGATGAACTGCCAGATGATGAAAGGTACGGACAAAATAATTTCCCTTTATTTTTAGTTTTCTAGTTTCTTTTGTCTATTCCTTTTCCTGATCTTTGAAAGAAACATATTGACTTATTGACTTTCCAAAGAAGACTGATAAATATAATCACCGTATTTGGTGACTAAAGGACTCATCTAGTGTGAAAATATTAAGATAGAAATCAAATTTAAGAGAGATGTAAAAATTTTTAATTGTGCACATTGACCATGTGTATCAGTTGTAAGAAGATAATCAGCACAGGAAGTCAAAGAGATAACAGAAGACTATTCTGCTCTAGATCACAGTTAATGAAAGGTTGTTTGAGTATATTTGGAAATAAAAGAACATCAGGATAGTTACTGTGGGAAGATGGTCAACAGCAAGGTAGAAAAGGCGGGCATCATCCCATAGTTTACTTTGCAGTCTAAGTATTTGCTGAAATACACAAGTATATGGGATTTGATAATGTCTTTTGCAAGTTTCTTATAACAGTAGCAACTATTGAAAAATCAGTGGCTGAATTTATTGTATTTGCAGGTTTCTAGTTGGTAAAGACAACTTGACCATTATGAATGTAACTGATAAAGATGATGGAACATACACTTGCGTAGTTAATACTACTCTGGACAGTGTGTCAGCAAGTGCTGTGCTTACTGTTGTTGGTAAGAATACTCTCAAACTTTACGATAGCAGAACTGTTTAATTACTGTTAAGTATGAAAACAGCTTTAGATTTAAAATGAAAAGCACAAATCTAGTTTTGATTTCAAGAACAGGACAAAGGAAATGACCTCTATCTGTAAATGTGTTGCAGTTTTTTAAAAATAATCTTACCCTAAAGTTTGCCTTTGAATCAGCTACTTACAAAAGGGTCCCATAGCTACAGGATGCATTCAGTTTCATGCTGTATAGATTTTTATTTGGATCACATCTGGGCTAACACAGTAGATTACATGCTGCACAGTATTTGAACATAAACATGTTATCTCAGCAATCTATTTCACAGTTAAATTATGCTTCAGAAAGACTGAACATGCTTGGTTATATAGGTTTTCAAGGATTTTCTTTTTAAATTAGTTCTCTCTTTTAAGTTTCCATGATGGCAGATTGTTGTAAAATATGTTACTTTGCCCCTTCTCCCAATTTATAAGAAAGCTTGAAGTAAATGTCCTGAATGATTCTTACCTGAGTTCAAGCTGAGATTCAAAGTCAAGTGTGCTTGTGTTTTAAAATTGTGTTGTAATCTGATGCCTATCCAGGAATGACATACACCAAAGGTCTCATACTTATTAGAGAATTTTAATAATATTTCTCACTTTATTTATTTTCTTGATCTATCCGTATTGAAAAAATGGATAAAATATTCAAGAATACTTTTATAACTTTTCAGTGAAAAATTATCGATGTATTATTTGAAATCAACCATTTACACTAAATAAGTTAACTTTTCTTTGTCTCTAATAATTATAGTCTTTAACTACCTACAGTATTCTGTTTCTTTGGCTACTAACTGATTAAATCCTTTATATTAATGTTCTTTTCAGCTGCTCCCCCAACTCCAGCTATCATTTACGGTAAACTAATATGAAGTTCTCTTACTACATCATCTGCCAGATACATTTCTCATTTGCCTGTTGCAAAGTGCAGCATCTTCTCTTTTTTCCCCTTTTTCCTCTTTTTTTAATTTGTGTGTATGTGTGTGTGTGGTTTCATCCCATTTTACCAACTGCTTCATTACTGGAGTACTGGGCTTTAGAATTTTACAGTGTCAGCTGCTTTGTATTTTAGAGAATAAATGATTTTCAGATAAATTATCTTTATATAAGGTTGGTTACACTGTGATAGTCTTTTTCTCGTAGAGAGCACTGTAATGCAAATTAGTTGTATAGTAAATGAAAGATCTAAAAGATAAATCCAACTGTTTGTTGAAAGCTAATTCACTCTCAAAGAACTTGCACCAACCAAATCCTGGTATGTTTTTACATTGCTTTGGCTGACAGCTTTGTAGCCTGGTACACTTCATTTCATTGTTTGTCTTCGGTTTACTTCAGTCATAAAATGGATAGGACCATATTGACCAATTTGGTTTATGATTGATGAAATTGCTAATACGATTTTAAAATTAAAGCTGAAATTCGCCCAAAAAATCTGTCAGGCAGGTGCAGTCCTAAATTTGACAGTATACGGTCTTTAATTTGGTAGCAGTTTTTTTCTGAATTTAGGTTTTAAATTCAATATAATATGGCTAAAACCACTTTTAAGTATGAGCATCTTAAGCACTTTTATGTAAATCCTGTCACATTCAGTAAAGCATTTTCTGCATTCTTAAATGAACCTACTCTTCAATCTTGATTTTTGTGTAACAAATCATAAAATGTATTATTTTTAGCAATTTGGAATGAACAGTTAAATCTTTATGCATTACAAGGATGTATATTAACAGCTTGCATGGTATTTCAGGTTTTTTTAAAAGTACAGCAAAAACAAATGACCGAGTAACTTGCAATTAGTTTCTGTTTGAACTATACTTGTTTTGAATTCACATGCAAAATATTTGTAGTGATTCTAGAAAAGCTTCTTTGATGTGAGTGCTTCTTTACTTTCCATGTTTTACTACATATTTCTAGTTACATTAGAGAACCACACATAATTATTCAAAGATAAACTGAACATGGATTTCATAATTCATTGCATCTCATTACATTTTTTTTATACCCCAGTGCAGTCAGACATAGATAAAATCAAATACAGATTCTTGTTAGTGTATAGAAGTTTCCAGATACATCAGTTTTCCATTTTTTCTGTTTTGTAACAGTCGCATGCTCACAGTCATTAAGTCATGCTTACGTAAGTGAGTAGATCTGCCCTGCTGTAGTTGTGGAATTCTTTTGATTGTAATGTAAGGATTTTTTCGATGGTGAAACTGCATATTCTGGTGTGAATATTTACTTTGTGTTCATTTCATTACAGCTCGGCCAAATCCACCCTTTGACTTGGAATTGACAGGTCAGCTAGAAAGAAGCATTGAACTCTCGTGGGTACCAGGAGACGAAAACAACAGCCCCATTACAAGTATGTTTGTTTATATCTATTGTATTACTTCAATAACATTACATTTACTGTTCTCAGATTCCAAAGTGTTCTGTGCTAAATTTTGTATGCAGCATGGAAGAATGGTAAATTGATTCGCTACAGTTGCCATTTATTTACATAACAAAAATTCATTAATGTCCTCTACTGTACAGACAAGCAGAAGAACTTATTTACTGCCCTAAGGAGCTCAGCTTTTGATCCAAAAACCTGTGATAGTTAACACAGAAGTTGATACTGATGTGAGCTCTGTCTCACATGGTGCAGTCTTCTGAATACGTTGAGAGCAGACTTGTTCATTACTTGTATGTTTCTGAAGGAGAGAGCTACTAACATCTTGCATTAACTCTTTTGTAATTCCCGTATATTTGAAAAAGCATCAGTGCCAATATCTTTAGGAATATCCATCACTACTGATAAAGAAGCTTATTCTTTCTAAAATATAAGGCAGATAGTTTTTCTGTTTTTTTCTAGTCAGATAGTTGAAAGAATAAAGCAGGTCCCTAGACAGAGAAAATTAACATCTAAAAACTTTTGAGACATGACGACACATGGTATTACTCTTCCCACTAGAGCATGATGAAAGATACTCTTGCTTATATTGAAGAGAAAGGATGGAGGGGGAAATTAAGAGGAAGGAAGAAGGATCTTACTTGTTTTCCAAAAAATAGTAAGATCAGAAAGATTTTTCGTTATGAGCAACTTACTGTAATTATTTAATTATTTATGCAGTGCATTTTTAGTTAATAACTGCTACAAGTTACCACAGCCAGTGTACACATTATATTTGGAGTGAATGAGTTAGGCTAATTTATTGAGTGTTGTTCTCCAGGGTCTGATGCTGGTCAGTATCAAAACTGAACAGAAACCATAAGGATCAGGCGTCTGGAAAGGAAGTTTTGTGAAAACAGAATTTCAGACATTTCAGAACACATCAAAGATTTTGATTGTATTTTAATGAAACACCAAGGGATTTTGCTGAAGTTTTAGACTTTCAGACTTGTCTAATGTATATCAACTACTAATATGTTTTAAAAAATATAATATATAGAAATTTAATGTAAAGAGTTGAATTGTATTTAGGGAGTGAAGATCACACTCTTTTGAAAGAGGTGATAGTAGGTGGTGTTGGCTTATGTCAGAGTTTTTCTAGAAGCGAGATACTGCATGCACTCTGATATTGGAAATTGAACCTTCTGACTAAATAATGCTGGTTTTAATTATGATATGATTTATATTACTGTGTGGTCCCGAGAGCCTTCAAAATAAGGCATTTGCTTTGTAAGTGAGCCTGTTACTGCTGGTGCTACTATCACTTCAAAGTGCAGATCAGACTCAAAGATAGCACTTCATTAAGAGTGATCCCTTTCAACAAGTAATACGACTGACATACTAGAATCTCTCTGAAAGCTCAAATAGATTTTTTTTTCCTTGAAGTGTTCTATAATTTTTTCTACTAGAGTTGTAGGCAGAATGCTAGTTACGGGGGAAGCAAAATGCAGTAGTGAAAACTTTGTTGGTGCTATTTTTTTAGCCTGTAATGTTCTCACCTTTTCAACAAAGACTTTGGTCCAGAAAATATCCTATCCTAAGGCCTTTCTCTCTGAGTACAGAACTCCAACTATAACTCAGACAGTAATTTGGGGCCAGTTCTCCCTCTTTCTTAACTGCGCAGGTCAGGATGAACTCTGCAAGCTTTAGCATAGCCAGAAGGCTATGATTAGTACTACTTACCTGTTTTACTTCTTGAACATCTTGGCTCCTCAAACTCTTGTGGATCATTTCGATGTAATACTGTAAGCATTCTTCTAAAAGCATTTTCTAAGTGCCTCTCAGAATTTCTTGAGTAGTGTAAACAGGATGCTTTCTGAGGCATATTCTGGCTTCTTGTCCACACCTATACATAAAATAGGGAAAAATATTTTTCACACGACACACAAACATTTGATGCTCATGTGAATTTTGTATATCTTAAGATTCCATGGAATATACTCAGACTATGCATTCTTCTTCCACTTATGTACTTTATCCTAACGATTCCTCATAGGTATTTTAGAATTTATATCTCCTACATAAGAGCAGGGGGCTTTTTCCTGTTCACAGCTGTTTCACAGCTGAAAAAAAATGTCCTTTTGAGTTTTGATAATGAATATGAGTTTCTTTTTGGAGTTCTACAAACCTATTTATCCCTGAGGTTATATACTCTCTAGGATCTCTAACAGTAATCATCATAATGTTAACACAGAGAACTCTCAAGAAATTTAGCTTCTGAACATACATTCCTTGACTTAATTTGAAGATACTGGGAAGTGCTCTCAAAAACTTTCCTCAAGTACTGCTTCTTGACTTTAGATAGTTCTTCCTTAAACCAGTCTCATTGGGGAAAATGGAATACTCAGGGAGTTTTAGTATTGTACAGGTACTACTTACTGTCAGCTTGATACAACTAGCCAAATATTACTTCTACATCAAAATTCCAATCTTGTCCCACTGTCTTGCTGTTACTTCAAGGGCTCCTGTTACATTAAAATCCATTACTTGAGAGTGAGCTCTTATAATAACGTGTTACCTGACAGGTATCTGCATTAGTGAGAATACCAAATAATAAAAGTCAGAGTGTTTCTATTCTATTTCTACCTAGGCAGTATTTTTGAGATCCACATTATAGATCTGTGTTGTGGTTTATGTACTTACGTTTCAATTTCCATGATTTTTAGAAACGTTGATTGGATCACTCCCTTCTGATTATTCAGAAATGCCTACACTGATCAAGGAAGGCGTTGCAAGTTTTGACATAAAGTTGGATTCAATTTCTGTTTACAGATTTTGTGATTGAATTTGAAGATGGGCTGCATGAACCAGGGGTATGGCATTACCAGACGGAAGTTCCTGGAACTCAGACAACAGTACAGTTGAAGTTGTCTCCGTACGTCAACTACTCATTCCGTGTGATAGCTGTCAATGAGATTGGCAGAAGTCAGCCGAGTGAACCATCTGAGCAGTACCTGACAAAATCTGCAAGTAAATAACTATTCCCGCTTACCCGTGATTGATTTATACTATGAATGGTGTTCAATTTGCTTGGGATGCAAACGGCAGTCATTCATGTTCATGTGTAAATATTTTATTTTTAGACCCTGATGAAAATCCTTCTAATGTACAAGGGATAGGCTCAGAACCTGATAATTTGGTAATAACATGGGAGGTAAGTTTGGTTTTTTGAGGTTTCAATTGTTTTCAGGTCTGTGAGTAGCATTTTTTTAAAGAAATAATGATTGAACTGTGAACACGCTATGAGAATAACCAATGTGTTGCTTGTTTCCAACATTCTTGAGAAAGAGTAAAATCCAGATATTTCCTGTCTTCATTTTCATGGAAAAGCTGCATGCATTATGAAAAAAAAAATAATAATTTAAGGTGCTGTATTTTCCTTGAGTGATTTCTCAAGATAAGCCATTAATTTGGTAATAGAGGATGTTTTGCTGCCAATTTAGGAGAACTTAAATATGTAAATTGTGGTTTATCTCAAGTAGAGTCTTATTTTTAGAATGAATTCTAATGTGTATCCTAGTTCTACCCTCAACTTTTGTGATAGCCTAAATTACTGTGCAGTCTTCCACTAAAAAGAAAAACTTTTCCCTCTCATGCCCTTACCATCGTGACAGGGACTCAAGGAGAGCCATGTAAAACCAATTTCCCATCCCAGGCAAGAAACATTGTTTAGGGAACACTGTTTATAGGGAGTTGGTGTAAGTCTGCTTTTTTCTCTTTCACTTTTTAAGAAATATTTGAAAACAAAAGATGTATGCAGAAATCACAATGTATGGTTGTATAAGAATTAACCAAGAAACACTGTTCAATGTGATTTTTACTAATGAATGAAAAGCAACTGAACTGGCCTCCTCTAAAAGCTAAATTATACAGCTTGGAAATTTCAGCAGTGCTTCTCTGTCACAGAACACAATGGTAGATTTTCAGTAAAATTCTAAAGAAGAATCAGTACCTTTCCTTTGTGACTTTGGATTTTTCAGATTCTGCAGAATATTTTTAAAACATTTTCATTTACTCTTTTAATTTCAGTCTTTAAAAGGTTTTCAGTCTAATGGACCAGGGCTTCAGTACAAAGTCAGCTGGCGTCAGAAAGATGTTGATGATGAATGGACATCTGTTATAGTTGCAAATGTATCCAAATATATTGTGTCTGGTACACCAACCTTTGTTCCCTATGAAATAAAAGTACAAGCTTTAAATGACCTGGGATATGCACCAGAGCCATTAGAGGTGATTGGACATTCCGGGGAAGACTGTAAGTTTTGTAATTTAACTCAATTGTACTAATTAAAAGCAACTAAATGTGTGTGTAACTTGAATGGGTATTTAAAATATTAAGATATTGAAAAAGGAGGATAGTAGTTATTTTTTTTAATTAAAATGAAGTAATTTGGTGATAATAAGGTTTCATAATATTCTTTAGTAATAATCCTGAGGTCAGATTTTCAATGTAGGAAAATTTTAACCTCTTTCTTGAGTGCAATATTCATGTAGTGTCTCATTCTAACACGGTACTTGTTGCATCCTTTCCACACAGTGCCAATGGTTGCTCCAGGCAATGTGCAGGTTCATGTTATTAACAGCACATTAGCAAAGGTGCATTGGGACCCAGTTCCACCAAAAACTGTCCGAGGACACCTTCAAGGGTACAAAGTAAGTACAGTCAAAACCTTTCTGTGCCTCCTTTATTAAAATAGATCACTCCACCTCTATGACACTGTATCCACATTGAAGTAACTGACATATAAGGACTCTTGCTTTTCAGTGAGCTCACAAATTTTGCTGACAAGAACAGCATTGATACAATTCATTTAGAGTTCAGCAGTGTTCCAGCCTTGTAGTAGTAACCTCCTGTGACATTGTCCTTGAAGAAAAATGGAGTGTTTGCTATTCAATTTTCAGACATTATATAGATTAAAAATAATAATAGTTTTATGGGTCTTAGTCCAAAAGGATATTTAGCGGATGAGGAGAATTAGTTTCTGTAGGAGTCTCTTCTAAGTCCCATGTGAAGATTACTCATCTTCTGCCATAATATGATTAATCACATCTTTAATTCTGAGTAACTGGCCACTTGCTAGCTTATGCTGGGTGCTGAGTCTTTCTGGAAGCCAGGAAAAAGCTCAGTTTAAAAACTCAGTTTAAGAAGATAGGAAATGGCAGAAGATTTGGAGTGTACATGTAATTGAAGGAAGCTCAGTTTAAGATAATGTGCCGGCTTTGACGATAACTGAGAATACTGTGTTGGAGACAAAAGACTGCAATTAATAGAGAATGTTAGACAGAAGGACTTCAAGGTTAGAAACTGAGGGAACTGGTGTCCCTGGAGGACAGGGAAAATTTGATGGCAAAATATGCTTCAGAGGTTACACTAGAAGCCCATCAGAAGAACATCAAGAGTGGAAACTGAAGAAGTATGGCAGACTGATTGTGGAGGGAAGAGTGGAACGAGAGTATATAGAGACTTCCTACACAACAATAGAAGAAAATAAAAAGGAAGTTCCTCTTTGCTCCTCTGCAAGTATACTAATAAATATGTTCTAACAAAACAGACCAGTTACACAGCCCAGAATAGGTTACTTTGTAAGACAAATTTGAACTGTTTATATTTGCATGAAAGGAAGAAAAATAAATATTTGAAAAATGAAAGACTAAAGAATTTTTGGAGCAGAATCATCATTTATAAGTACATCATACTTATAAAATTAAGGACTAGTTCAAGAGCATTGAAACTGAACTTCCATTACTACATGTATGTTTAGTCATGCCATGATTACTTCTGTTGAGTGTGTTAGGCCTTCTCTGTATACAGTGTGATTTTTTTTCTATGGGGAGGACAACCAAGCAATTTTTCAAAGCTAAGCAAAACTGAAGCTAAAATAAGCTAGTCAATAATCATAAGTAAAACAAGCTCAGGACTACAGGGTTAACAACAGACATGACCACTGAGTGGTTTTGCTGTTATGGCTGGGACAAACAAGACAGTGGTATATTCTTGAATAAGTTGCAGATGCAGCAAAAATTGTTAAGTAACTTTTGCAGATACAGCTAAATCAAGCTAAAATAGGTTAAATACTAGACAAGGTGTGACAAGTACTAAGACCTAGTGGATAGTTACTGTCATAAAGCGTTCTGTAAATACAAGCTGAAAACTTTTCATGGATGCAAAGTACGCTTTAAGCATCTTAGTTATTGACATAGTTTACAAATCACATGACTATGTCTTTTTAAACAAATGAGCAAAATCCTACTTGCAAACTTGGGCTTTTCTAATGAATAAAGTTATTTCAGACAGTAGCCCAATACGCAGTGTTGCATTAGGGACTCATTTCTTAATAAAGAGAGGGGTATTCCTCTGAAGAGTCAGGTCATGAAGACAAATCTGTGAACAAAGCAGGAAGACACCTAATTAGCAGCAGTCTACAGAACCTTACTCATATTTTACTCTTGTATTTATCCAGCTATTAGTTTATATACTGTGGTACTATAAAGCATGTCAAACCTAAGAAGAAATTTTGTAAATAATGCTTTTCACTGTTACTGCTGCCATTTTTTTCCGTTATTCTTACAGATTCTGTGATTATTCAATACAGCACATGAAAAATGTGATGTGGTTTCTTTTACTGTCATATTCCTCTTCCAAATCACTGCTTATCAAATGCAGCTTATTATAGCTCTTTTTTAATTTAAGTCTGGCTAGTGAAAAGTGATGACCCAACTATAATTATGTCCTTTGTGAAAAGTTACTACCTAACAATTCTTAAAATACCATGGACCATACCTGATGAGTGTCAATACTAATAGTACCAACACTTCACATTTTAAGTAGCTTGTAAATGGCTTTCTACACTAGTTGGTAGGATGAGAGCTACAGGATGACAGCTGGCAGTGTTGAAAACATTAACTTAAGCCATGTAAAACACAGCGGCACTTAACAGTGATTAGAGTGAAATCACAGAATCACAGAATCATAGAATGGTTTGGGTTGGAAGGGACCTTAGAGATCATCTAGTTCTAGCCCCCCTGCCATGGGCAGGGACACCTCCCACTAGACCAGGTTGCTCAAATAGCCATCCAGCCTTGCCTTGAACACCTCCAGGTGTTAGCAATAGAAAGCTGGTGTTAGTGTAAAATTGCTTTATAAGCTACCTAGTTGGGCTTTGGAAGTCTTAACAGTTCCTGGTTTTGCATTCATATGTGAAATTCCAGCTTCCTTAATCAATGAGGTGTTTTGCAGTTGGCTTAAATGGAACCAGAATTTTACCTATTTACATTGCTTTATCAGTTTTAGTGTGTTATCGGTTTTACATGCATGAAAATTATACTGTGAAAAATGAACAATGATGTATTTGAAGGTGACAATCCTGGGAGTAACACAAATCTTTGTTAATATCTTTTAAGATATTGTGGTAGAGAGACTGTAGTAAAGAGAGTGCAGTCAGGTAATTACTTCTGAGGCTCATCTGTAGTTTCTTAGAAATTTAATCAGCAAATTGGACACCAGAATCAGCTTTGTGATGTGATCTATTTGTCACATAAATGGAGGAATATTCTTCCGGTCCCTTGGTGGAGATCATTCCATGACTGTAACCTCAGAGTCCTTTCAGAACTTGTGTATTTTTCCAGCCCAGACAAATATTTTTGTTTCTTTCCCATTTAAAAATATCTACTTGGCTTCCACATCACAAGGAATAGCACAGTCAGGGGTGTGACATAACTAGGTGGCAAAGTGCAGGTCTGCTTTGGAAGCTATGTAGACATCTCACTGCAAGAATGGATGGTATGAATGAGTCCTGCCTCTCAGATGGACTTGCTAACATGAGAACCATCACATACCAATACAGTTCCAAACCAGAACTTGTGTCAAACTGGCTTTGAGCATTAGCAGATCTGTCAGGTGATATTCTTCACCCAATTGTGTAGACATGACTGTTTCTGGACAAGGTCTGTTTCTGGAGCAGGAAAGCTCTATAATGTTTCTCACCTGAATTTATAATCATATTCATGGATACTCATGGAAAAGCTTAGAGTTTGTAAAATCAGAACACCTAAAAACTCACTGTAGATTTTCTTTTGTCTTTAGGTTTACTACTGGAAAGTGCAGAGTCTATCCAGAAGGAATAGGCGGCATGTAGAAAAAAAGATCTTGACTTTCAGGGGAAACAAGACTTTTGGAATGTTGCCAGGCCTGGAGCCCTATAGTTCTTACAAGCTGAATGTTAGAGTTGTTAATGGTAAAGGAGAAGGACCAGCAAGCCCAGACAAAGTATTTAAGACCCCTGAAGGAGGTATGAAATGAGAAAGGTAGAGCATAAACTTAAATGTGGTTTATTCAGAAATAGAGCACTAAGGGTCTAATTGCTGAATTTGCATCTTGGACATTAGAAAATAATAATCTGGGTCAATGCGGTAATAATCTTGAGGATTTAATAATTCATGAGCTGTTTTAAATTAATCTACTTTGTATTTACTGTATGTTCTTCTTAAAAGTTCCTAGCTCACCCTCCTTTCTGAAGATTACTAACCCAACATTGGATTCTCTGACTCTGGAGTGGGGTTCACCTACCCATCCAAATGGTGTTTTGACATCATATATACTGAAGTTTCAGCCAAGTAAGTTAATTAAGCCTATGTAATTCTAAATTAGACAATATGTCTACCAAATGGCAATCCATTTATTATGAAAAAATTATGTTAAGTTTATAATGTACAAAAGCTATGATTGCATTGTAGATGTCAAGTTTGAAAAAGATTGATGTACTTGTGACAATATAGATTACTCTGTTTTGAAAACTTCACTTGCTCAAGTACAAGGTTAGCATTTTTCCATTACTTTTATTTCTTCAAACCATGCTTCACAGAAAAATGGAGGTGAATTGCGTACAATTGACAGCCAAGTTAGAATCAAGATACTACCACTACAAATCCTGTATTCTAACTGCAGAGAAAATATATCTAGAATTAGATAAAAATATATCCAACTATATTGTTGTCTGCTTCTTGAATTTTTATGGTATTTTAATTTTAAAATTAAAAAGTCATAAATATGCCATTTACTCCTATCAGAGCTCTAAATCGTTTCCGTAGGATCCCCTTGCCGCTGCTTACTTGCCCAGAAATTTGTCAGCAGTGACACTGAAAATTAAGAGATTCATGTGCATGGAACAGGCTAAGGAAGTTTGTTTTCTTCCACTTACCAACTTCCACTGTTCCTTGGCATTAGATACAAATCACCTCACTTTTTTTTTTTTTCCCTAAGCGTACTGAACTTATTATGACGTAGCTAGTTTAGAGTTTTAGAATTTTGTAATCATCAGTGTTTCAAATGTGTGTAAGTTCAGATGACTCGATGTGGACTCAGTTGTCTGGGATTCAAATATTTATGAGAATGGAACTTAAAAAACTTGAGGGTGTTTCCTGTCTTTCTGTCGAGTTTTGGCTCCTCGAAAAATACGACTCCTCACAAATGTGACTTTATTTTGAAACTGGAGATTATCTTTCATATAACCTGAAATGATCAATGCAGCAGACAAACAAAACAAATAAATACAAACAAAAAAGCCTTTTTTAACACAATGATAATGCAGGCAATTTTTCTAACTTTTTTTTTTCTTTTAACAACAGTTAACAACACGCATGAATTAGGTCCCTTGGTAGAGATAAGAATACCTGCCAACGAGAGCAGCTTGATATTAAAAAATTTAAATTACAGCACACGATACAAGTTTTACTTTAATGCACAAACTTCAGTTGGATCAGGAAGTCAGATAACTGAGGAAGCAGTAACAATTATGGATGAAGGTAAGATGGGTATGTATAAAGAAAACCCATTGAGTTTAAAAAGCACTACAAATTTTATTCAAAATACTACTGCTACTTCCTTCCAGTAAGAAAGTAGCCTGTAGTAAAATTTTCTCTAGAGCTTTCTTAACTATATTATATACTAATAAAAGATCTTAAATAGTTTTTAGGAAAAGATGTGCAAAGGGTTTCTACTGTAGCAGGAGCCCCAAAAGATATGTAAAGCCCCTCCTTTTGATATAAACTTACAAGATCTAAGACTTTGGCTTTTCAGGCTTCAAAGGTTCATATAACTTTACGTTTTAAGTGGTCCCCATTCACTTATTGTGCTTCATTGACCTGCTCTGGTCACAGAAAACAATATTGAAATGATGCAGCTGTATGGCTAGACAAAATTATTTCTCTTTTGATGTATGCAGCAGCTTCTGTGAGGTCTAAACTTTTTCAAAATCTGGCAAAAACTGTAACTTCAAAAAAGCTGCAGAAATGAATTTGTCATCTATGCCCCCAAGTAGCTGGTGACATATAATATCTAAATACTCTTAGGTTTATTGTTCAATTCTTTCACTGTTGATTTTTACATTTATAGCCATTCTCCATCTCTGATTTTGGCAGGTTTTTTTTGTTGAAGATGTTGTTTATTTAAATGTGAAAGTTTAATAAAATAAGAGTAATTTAAAACAGAGGGGAATTTGGGGGGAAAAACCTTTTATGCTTTCGCACATTTTAATATTAAAAGTCCATTTTGATACCATCTTTTAAGGTATTTTTATGCTTAGAAAAATTATAGTTTGTTGGAATTGCTGTAGATGAGTTTGTATGCAATGCAATTTCTCTAATGGTGTTCTAAGGTTGCATATAAACAACATTTATTTTAAATCATGAATCTTAACAAGCATGAGCAATAAAATTTTGTAAGTGCATGTATATTAATTTTTGTCTTGTAATTGTCAGTGTTCAGCATAAGTGGATGGTTTCTAATTTATTTGAATTAATACATTTTATCTAGTCTGCATGCTTTTCTGGTTTATAATGAAGTTATATACGTATGTTGCCTTTGGTGTTGTATCTAATTATATAGTGTTCCTGTTCTTGTTTTCCTCTATTAAAGCTGGTATTCTCCGTCCTGCTGTAGGTGCAGGCAAAGGTAAAATGAAACTGCATGATTTGTTAATGTGTGGATTTTGCAGTGTTGCAAATGGGGAAATTGCAGTGGTAAGGACAGAAAATCTTGGAGCACACATTACTATACAGAGTATTTATCAGTACTGGAAGAAAACATTTGTGGGTTTTGTTTTGGTTTGGTTTGGTTTTTTTAAAAGGAATCCAGAATGCTTATTAATACCTTTAATCTATTTATTCTGCCACAGAGTTCCAGGGGAATTCATTAGCTTTTCTTCAGGAAAGTCTAATTATTTCTGAGCATTTAACAGATGTATGTCACTGTCATAAATATTCAGGACCCAGGTGCACTAGCACTGATTAGCTGGAGTAGAAAAAGCAGCGCTTTTTGCAAAGGAGATTTCTTTACTGCCTGTGCCATGTGCTTATTTTATTTTTAAAAAAAAGTAGGTGCATTCTTGTTCCCACTGCTGATTAATGCTACCCATTTGATCACATTTATTTCATTTGCAAGCCAGCTGTGCATAAGAGACAGATGACTGACAATACCCTCTGTATACTTCTCAGTTCCAGTATCAGGTTGAATATACAGACAAATGGCTTCCTGCTGTCTTGGGTTCACAGATCTTGTGAGTGAGCACTTGAGGATATTTCAGTGAGGGGAACATACTGTCTTCCTTGTTCTTGAATTCAATAATATTTAGTTCTTTATGATGCAGTTCTTCTGTCAAACAAGGTGTTCTTCACATTTTTGCACACATTTTTTACATATTTTGATACCTTTTCTGTCAGAAGCAAAGATTCTGTTTTACAGCAGAGGACTGTTAGATAGGTGTAAGTCAGAAAGGTGTCTCTATACATATGTGTCATTTTATCACAGAGGTGTCATTACCACTGATGAACATTTGTGCTTCAGATTCCCAGACCATAAAGATCCAAAATTAAGCTCTGTACATGAAAAGCCCAACATTTTTTATGAGAAGCATAAATTGGCTTACATATACTTTCTTTCCACTTGATAATCAGGTGTTTTGAATGACAACAGACATAAAAAAGAACTTTATTCATTCAGTCTGGTGTAAATCAAACTTTATATATGTATATATAGATGCATTTGAGCATATATTGCATATATTTATATATAAGTATATTCTAACATCAGTTACATTTCTGGTAAGTGTATAGAGCTGTAGAGTTATTTTAATGGCAGGTCTTTCTTACTGTTTTTTAGAGTAGTTGTAGCTGAGAAGTCAGCACAGATTGGAACAATCAAACTGGTTTGTAGGCCTGGGCATTAACAGCAGAAATGTAAATCAAGTTCTCATTATTTTGTAGCTGACTATAAAACTCATGCAAGGAAAAATGGATTCTCTGTGTGAAACTGAGATCTAATTATAGCTGTATCACAGTCTGTGGCCAGCAGAAAGCATCTTATTTGTAAGATCAGCTGGAGCAGCTCACGTTTCAGAGCTGTCATCTCAGATTCTCTGAAAACTAAGCAGATGTCTTCGTTTGGTTCCGTGCCTTTTATGGTTTCAAAGTTTTCCCATATTCCTGTAGCATCTAGCTCTTACAATTGCAAAGAAAACTTGAACTGCAAACAGGATGGAACTAAAGCCATGACATCTGTTAGGACATCCGAGTTGCTGCAGGTCTGAGATGAATGTTCTCAGTGGTTATTTACATTAACATGATTAACTGTTTTGCTACTGATGAGGAAGGAAAAGGAGGATCGTATTATCAAGATCAAGTGCCAAAATATTTGGTCTCATGAGTGGGTGGATTTGGAAGGCAGAAATACCCAGCCCACTCAAGAAGCTGTACTCAGCAGTGAATTTTTACTCCATTAAGTGCTATACATATATACAGTTCTTATTAATGTGGACCCAAAGCCAAACCAAGGAGAAGTTAAAATTTAGATAGTCTCAACTTTTTGGTAATCTATCAAAAACATCTCAATTTTTCATTTTGAAGGGCAGAACTTACCAGAAAAATATAATTATCCTTTCTCTTTCAATTCAAGCGCATTTATCTTGGAAGTTAAGACAATAGGTCCCAGATTCAGTCAGCCAAAATTGCACTGAAATTTCTATACTTGGTGTTTTCTGCTGGCTGGCTGAAGACCTGCAGCTTGGCCAGTCAGAAACATCAGACACAAGGTCCTGGAGGAATTCAGATCATCTAAACCTGGGCAAGTTGTGCAACTTGGGACATATTTCTCTTCTCAGAATACAACTGTATATTACAGTGGGAGGGAAATACTGCTACAGTAAATCTAGGGATCTTAGAGTGTCTCGATATTTTTATTGTAGTTCCGAAATACATTTCCTGTCTCTTGACACCCTGTGTCTTTTGCCGTCTTTTTAGACAGATGTGGGCCATGCATTGTCTTTTATTACTTTAAAAACAATGAAAGTAAGCAGTCTGCTTACTGCTACACTTTTAATACTTGTCCCAGCTGAGGTTGTCAGATTATAATGACTGTCCTGGTGCTAAGTAAAGATGCCTGGTATATTCTAGACCAATAAGTAGAGAAGCATGTTATATGCATTTTTCCCATAAAGTAAAACAATTTTAGATGAAAACATGAAATAGAGGTCAAGGCTAAGGGATTTAGATAAAGGAATCATTTTTTTCTGTAGCTTGAATAAAACTTAGAATCTCTATTCAAATGGGCCTGGAGACTAATAGCAGTCAATTATTGTCTCTCTGTAATATGTCTTTATCCTAGTAAAAATGTTCTTTGGACAATTAGCAGAAAAGCAGTGGATCTTGGCACATTGCAAGAACAGAGGTTTTTTTACTTCTCTAAGTAAACCTTAACAGAGGAGATCTATGTCATTCTCTCACAAGCCCACATGAGTAAATCACGAGACACATTATTTTACTACATGGGCAAACTGTCATGTTGGAGCTGATACTCCTATTTGACTTGCACTATCTCTTTTGCTTTCTAATACTGTGATGTTGTAAATGACTTAAATTTCATCAAAGTATGGCACTACAAAGAAAACATAATTGTTTTTCTTCTTAGCAACGTGTATTCTAAATGTGTCTGAAAACTCCATGTGTAAAACATAATGTAGCATACCCTGTATTAGATAAGCAGTATGTATTGATATCTAACAAAAGGCATGAGGCAACAGAGCTGTAAGAAAAATTGGGGAATAAGAACATGATTACATGTAAAATAATTATAGTAGCAGCTGGAAAGTGACTCAGACAATCACTGGAGTCAAGTCTTTCCTACCCTTTTCCATGCATTAGAAATGTTAAATACTTGGACTATAGAGGAAGGTAGAGAATGCAAATTTGACCAGTGGTAGAAATGAAAGTTGCTCATTAAATTAAACCATCACAGAGTCTCGTTATTGTGTTTGTTGTAAGCTTAGGTGTAGGGAGTCATGGCATGACGTGTCAGTCTCTACATTTCACAAGCCTTCTTGTTCCACTTTTCAGTTTCTTTTTGATTTAGTCAACATTTTTATTTGTACGTAGTGTCTTGCAGTCTGCTTGCATGCAGACACTGGTAACTGGCAGTCCTGAACTGCAATTAAAATAAGGTTGTGAGATCACAGTTACCTTTAATTGACTCTAACGCTTCCTGTCAGTGCAGTACTCAGTCTGCCTGCTTCCTCATGTGAACTTCACATTTCAAGTATTATTGACAGAAATACTCTTGTTGCAAGGGAGAAAAACGAGTAGTCTGGCCTCTGGGTTTGAACCTATTATTTTTTTCTGACTAAATCTCCAGTATGTAGCTCTTCACTGCAGGCTAAAAATCATTCTCAGCTGAGTTTGTATCTCTGATCTCTTCATAGAAAATAGGATCATCTCAATTTGCTTTGTTCCATACAAAATGCTGTTCTTTAAATCATTTTCCCTGCCCGCCATCTGTTTTCCCTCCCTCTTTGAATTATTTCACAAAATATCTCCATATTTTTGCTAACAAGTTCAAGCTGCTTTTTCTTTTCAAGTTGATTGTAGTATTTTTGTACTGCTTCTTCAGCTGCTCTCTCCCTGTGGACTTCTCCATGATATAATTATGTGATTTCTTCAGTACAGCCTGCTACGCAGAACCACTGTTTTTTTCTCTTAAAGTGCACTGGGAACAATGATGATGCATTGCATGCTAGACTAGAGAAAATGATGGTTATTGCAATGCAAAAATTTCTGCAAATTTTCGCTTTTCTTTCGCTTTGTAGACATCATGCAAAATCCATGTCACGCTAAGTGCTTATCAGTGAAATGATTTCTTGCATTTCTTGTCTTCTGTATTTCTTGCACTACAGGAATGCTCTTGCAATGGCCTAAATAATCTTAGAAGTGACTAATGCCAATCCCTCCCTGCCAGAAATGGAATTCACTCTTACACCAAGGCTTGAATTTCATACTGTACAACTTGTAGATTAAAAAGCAAATAAAAGGCAAACCCTTCTTTATGTCTTACAGGCTCTGGCATAATCTATCACCTTTTTCCTTCATCTTTTCCTGTGTGGGGGTGTGGGCTTTTCTTCCTTTTAATTTATTTTTCTCTTTATATATGCATTTTAAATAAATTTCTGTGATATACTGCTTTGTGGGCTTTTTTCCGTTTGATGCCAGTCTTCAAATGTGTGCTTGTCACTTACCTGCCATTTTTTTCCTGGAGATCAGGTGAATCCCATGAAAATCCCAAAAGTTTAGTCACTTTGAAGATGATTTCATTTATTGTTCTACTGCAGCAAATCTTGAGAAAGAGTCCCTATTCTGTTTTTAAAATCTATTCACATCTCATGTTGCGTCTTATTAAATTCTTTTGAGTCTGCAGCCCAAGTGTACCTGTGTTATTTGGAGGAACTGTGTTCCTGAAAGGCTGGAAGATTAAATGCAACTCTACAAAAAAACTTCACTAAAAAAGCGCTGGATTTAATTTGAAAAGAAAGGAAAATTTTCCTTTGAGCCTGGGCCTCTTTCTCAGCATTTGGCAAAAGCTTGTGTAGCGTATCGCGCTACAGGAACGGAACCGTGCTCAGAGCTGCCAGCTAAATTTTGCATTGTATCATAGCATGGTTAGAAGGGCTTAATTTACTGGGGGTAGCTGAATAAGACTCGGTCTGTATAAAAACTGTAACTTATTCACAAGCCATCCCCATCCGTTTTAGAGCCATGCTTTTGTCAGCAGTGCTGCACAGCATCATGCACGGCTACCGATGGAGAGAGCACCGTGCTCCACTGCTGCAAAAGCTCCGCTCCCCGAGACAAAGCTTTCTGCCCCTGCCTTTTACCAACTGGCACTTGCACACGCTGGGAGTTTCTGCCAACTGACAGTTCTGACAATTACACATTTTGCATTTGTGAACAGTGCTGGGAAAAATATTGAAGAACTAAGAGGTTAATTATAATTAGAGGTGTGCTGATTGAGAAGACAAGAGTCTGGGTGGATTGGAGACGAGCTTTGAATGTTGTAACTACTTCAGCTCTAGGCTTTCATCACCTTGGGACCCATCAGCCATCTTTTATCTTCTTATGTGTGTATTCATGTTGCAAATACGGCACATTTAACAGACCTAAGTAAAATTTTCCAGGCATTCTGGAAAATTAGATCAAGCAGTAGTGAAAGAAAGGAAGAGTTACAAAAATAATGATTTTGAAAAAGTGTGCTACTGAAAAAATTTCTTGGTGCACTGTATTCAATAGGAAAAAACCAGAAGTTAAATCTGACCAAATACTACACATGCATAAATCTTTACAAACAGCTATTGCTAAGAATCAGATAAGAGTACATAAGCATAAATAGGTCACTTAGGAGGAGTTAGAAACTAAGAGGGTAATTTTTAGAGCTAACCTAATAGTTATAGGCAATCATAGGAACAGAAGGACATTTACCAGACACCAGGTCTTCAATCTAGCAGGCAGCTCTTAATCAGAGCAGAAACTGCGAATTGGAGGTGGAAAAAAAAAATAAATGCAAAACGCAAGATAAGATGGAGATTTTACAGGGAAAGTGATTATCAAATTTGCTTAATGGTATAGAAACTGTTTGTCATCTGGAGTCTCACACAAGATGAGACATTTTCCTTCATCCCCAAGTGCTCAGGCATGAGGAAGGAGAAGTTAGGTGTAATTCTGTGGCATCTCTTTGTAAGAGTTTCTTCTGTCTTTAACACCGATGACAAATATCAGTCATACAGTTGTGCTGTGAATTAGACATCTTCTGTGGAAGAGCAAAATCCAGAAAAATACGGGTTTGAGAAAATACAATTTAATGAAACAAAACAAAGTCGTATTTAGATTATAAACCAGTTGTTTTCTTGGCACAGAACAAATGCTTAGATGCTGATTGTAACAGACACCTGTTCCTGTGTGCAAATGGAGAAGGAAGTTTATTTATCCTGTCTGCAATCTCTAAATTTAGAGCCTGCTATTCTTTCCTCTTGCTACCTTCAAGTGACACAGAAAAGCAGAATTTAATCCCCTTGCATTACCGTAATGTATATGGTTACATGCTAGATTTCCCATAGACAGCTCCAGCTCTGGTATTTCTTAGGGGTTTTGTTGTCAGCTTATTAACCTAGATGGCATTTTTTTTTTAAATCTATTTGATTTTGTTAAGGTAGTTTTAGCCAAGAAATAAATAGATTCTTTATTATTTAAATATGTTCCTTATTGGCTTTGGTTGGTGAAAAAAATCATGTATAAAATATATAAGCATAATTTACCTACAAAGACATCAAATGTGGGAGTAATTTGTTTAACAGATTGAATTGTTGAATGAGTACTACTGGGATAGAGTGAAGAGAAATTTGATGCAAGTGTGGAGATAAAAATTCTGATATTGTGAAAATTTGTGATCACGAGAACACATTGTCAGGACAATTAATGGAATATGCATAATTTAGGTATTTTTTAAAAAGACTCAGGAAGATAGTTTTCTAGAACTGGTACTCATATTATTTAGTCTGTGCTAGGGGCTCGTAAACAGATTTATTTATTTTACTATGCCAAAATAAGCCATTTTCTCTTTGAATCTAATTTGAAACTACTTCCAGTCAGCCATATGGAGAAAGCCATGCTGTTTTGAGGAGAAAATAATTTAAGCGCATAGATAAAATCCGTGCAGCACCTCTTCCCTTCAGGATTTTGCCCATTTTATTTTCTAGTGTAGGTGAAGCCATTGGAATCCTGCCATTTGTCTTTACTGAGACTGGATTTTACCTCTGGTGTTTCATGGTCCTTTGGGAAGTACTTTTGATGTTGTTTCTAAAAAGAAGATATTTTTAGCAGGATACAAAAAGTCAGTGGCAAACCGAGTGAGGCATTTTAATTTTAAAAATTAAATTCATGCCTTTGGGGAGCATCCACTTTGTGTCTGCACTATTTGAACTATTAAAATCTATTTTTCATTAGTACTAGGCAAGCAAACATGCTGAAATATATGTCCATTTATAGCAAGTATAATTGGAGAACAAAAAATTAAGGTATGAGCAAAGAAGTGGCTAACTGTGGGATGCTGAAGAGAGAAGTACTTCTTTTCATAGATGTGGGCATTAGGCGTATCTGTGAAAAGTACTGTTGTCTAACAAGAATGTCAACGGTAAGACACAGTACAACAAAATGAACAGCTTCTTGCATTCCAGTTATTTGTGTCCTTCACACCAGAGCATTTTGATATTGGCTTTCCAATATCTGATGTCTTATGTTCCGATGTCTAAAAATGCTGTGAATTCATAACATTAATGAAGCTGATTTCAGAGATGTTCTGTGAAAGTAAAGGTGTCCGTACACACATATTTTCATTTGTTTTCAAATACATGTGTGTCACTTAGCTGTTTCTTATTTTAATGAGTAAAACTAATTGAATCCTGCATGAACTTAGAGTGTGCATGTGTTAGTCATTTAGCAGGTAAGGTTTTACTGTATTATTTAAATGTTATTTTTTGATGCAAAGTGGTTTTACTCTTTATTTTTTCTTTCCTACTATCTCTGATGGTGAAGGATATTCAGAAACCCTTTTTGCAACCTCCCCAGTCATGCACATTGTCCGTCCAACATTCTATAAGGGTATTGTCTTCCTTTTTTATCATTATCAATGAAATAGAGACAAAATCCTATTAGGGCTTGCAGTTGAGACATTTGCAGTGACACATGGCATAAAGGGAGGTGTGTACCACCTTCATAGCTCCGTTCTCTCCTACCATTTGCCGTTACCCTGACAATGTTCTCACTTTCCAGCTGTCTGCATTTTAATTCTAGATGAATAGAAAGAACATTTTCCAGAATTTTGGCAATTAGGTATTTTTAAGTATTTGGCAGGTTTTGTGAGACAGGGCTTGCTCAGTAGTGTACATAGATTTTACTTTATAGTTTCACAGTGTAGTAACTGCCTAGGATTCGATTATCAAATATGCTACTTTAGTCACTAATTTCCAGTAATGGAAATAACGACAAACGTACTATACTTTCCCTGTATATGGTCTAAATTAACATAGTAACTTCTTAAAATATTTTTTAATGTATGAAGTCACAATTTCATATTCTGCTTTGTTTTTCTATTGTGTATTCAGTGCAACCACTTTATCCAAGGATCAGAAATGTTACAACAGCAGCCGCAGAGACCTATGCCAATATCAGTTGGGAGTATGAGGGACCAGATCATGTGAACTTTTATGTTGAATATGGTGTAGCAGGCAGTAAGAAGTTATTTCATTCAATTTTGCTAAAGTGTTTAGATGTATTTTCAAAGATTTTTATAGTAAATGTGGTCTTAAATTGCCCTAGTGTTAATGAGAGCTCTTAAATGTCTAGAAGAATTATTCTTTACTTTGATCGGGAAGATCAAATAATTTTCATTTTAATGAACACAAGTGTGTAGCAGATATTTGATGCTTAGATAAAATATCAGCCTTTGTTCCTTTGTATTATTTTCTAAATTCTTCTGAACTTGAACTTCTAAAATTGTGGTTTTCATAAAGTTGTTTATCATGCAGTGATTACGTGTGTAAAAATATGATCACTTGCATTAAAATAGTACATAAGAATTTTCTAGATTTTGATCAATTCAGGGGAAAAAAAAGGATTAAATAAGTGAGCCAATCAAAATTATATTCTTTGTCAAATTAAACCTTAAAATAAGGTGTCAACCAATTTACGTACTTTAATTGGCAAAAAAACAGGTTTTAATTTTTGATAATACCAGTAATAATTAAAACTCAGTTAGATAACAAAACCAAAATACTTCTATTCAAATACTCTATCCTCCTAAAGTTAGGACTAAAGATGACCCATGTGAAAATTGCAATATAAATGCATTTTTCTAAATATTGGTCAAATAAGCAGCTGAGACTCAATTAGATATAAGAGAATGATCAGGAAATATAATTGGTTCAGATTTTGAAGTAGAACTTCTTGACTAAAGTAAATATTGACTGAGACTGTAGAAATGTAATTTAAATTATTAAAATCTTAAAATGTATTTAATAATGATAAGTAATAAACCTTTTAAAAATTAATGAAAACAGTACTTCTCCAGTACAATGGAACAAATGTTTTAAATAGTTTCATAATTCATGTACAATGTCTTCAATATATTGCATGCAATATATTATTTGAAGTCATAATTTTATGTGGTTTTATTATTTTTTTGAGAGCATAGTTATTTTTATCAGCCAATCCATAGCTTAGTCAAGTAACTGTTGATAGTATTCTGTCTAGAAACTTTCAGTAACACAGAGAAAATTAAAATTCCAATATGTTGTTTTCCTAAAATTTTTGTAGGCAAAGAAGATTGGAAAAAAGAGATTGTAAATGCTTCTCGAAGCTTCTTTGTGTTAAAGGGTTTAACACCAGGAACAGCATATAAAGTCCGGGTTGGTGCTGAGGGCCTGTCTCAGGGGCCTGGTGTTAGGAGTTCAGAGGATGTGTTTGAGACAGGTCCAGGTGAGGCACACCATAACAATTCTGTATCCTGGTCAGAGTTGTGGTAGACCAAGTTCTGAAACGCCGCTGAACTGCTTCTAGCTAAGAGATGTTGTAGCCAGCATCTTTGCATGTTCTTTTTTTTTTTTTTTTATAGCACTGTTGAATTATTTTATAAACTCCTAAATAATGCCAGCACATGTATTATGTGGAGTGTGAATGTTTTTATCCCTTCACTTCACTCTACTTGTCTGTTGTTTATATTAGGGGCATCTGTTTGCTATGCACTGAAGATGACCAATTTCATTTATTTATAATTAATGTCATTAGATGGCTATATTTAAATAGCATGTGCATTAATAGAGCCAAGTATACATTTTTAAATGTAGCAATCTGCATATGATCACTTTTCATACAAAGAATCGGAGGTAAAATGTTTCCATAATTAGAAGTGCAGATTCAATTTGATGTCTCATGTAATTTGTTTATACCAATGTTAAAAGATTCCTACTTGTAAATGTTTCTTGTCATATACCTGTTTTACATAGATTTTGATGTCACAACTATATGCTGTGAATCAGAATGGCTGTTTATGTTCCTTATGTACATATTTCAGTCATATTTCTTCATAAGCAATTCAGTAATGCTTGTTCATTTAACTTAGAGAAAGGGCTTTATTGGAAGCTTTTTGGTGTTAGGCTGAATATGTTGTTGCCATCACAGCATGTTCTTGGTCTGCTGTTATTACTTGTGTATTTGCTAGCCACTTTTGTTCATTCCAAGCATTTTGATCAGTGCATAATTATTTAGCAGTAGCCTCACCAACTCCAGAATGTTATGATTTAAGAAAGTAGTGTAAATATGAAAATATGCTTGAACAATATGTAGTCATTATCAGACAACAAAGTAAATAATGAATATGCCAGTTTGAAAGTGAGTACTTTCTAAAATCATAATTCTTTTTGTTTTGTTTTGTTTTGTTCCATTTCTGTTCACAGTTTATCATGTTGCAGGAAAGCTTTGAAAACATGGTGCTGAATAACAGTGCCAGGCAAATATGTAGAGGCTGAACACAGAGGTTATATATGCCAGAGACATCTAGCAGTATAAAGCAGATATATGAAGTTTTATGCAAATATACATCCAAAGCCAAAAGCAACAGTAAAGCAAGGATCAAGACTACAGTATAGTTCAAAACAAGCTGAGTGGAAACCTTCCCAAAAGCATCTTTCTGCACAAAAAATACTGAGCCAGTAGATAAGGAATCCTGTCACCTTGGCTCATGTCCTTGAGTAGGTGAGGAAGAAGGGAATTTAAATACAGGCTTTTCTGCCTCTCGACAATGGAAACGTTCAGTGTCCAGCATTAAATTGTAATCATAGTATATTTCGTACAGAAAAATGTGTCACACCATCTTCAGCCTAGATCAAAGTTTTAAAGGCTGCAAAAAATGAAGTGGACAAAAAGGAAAATATTGGAATATGGAACATGTCCTTAATTAGGAGTGAAAGTAGAATACTTCATATATGAGGCTTTTGCCAATTTTTTTTCTTTGACGAGCATTCCTGTAGAGCATCTTCATAGTGCGCTGGTTTATCTTTTTGAGCATCCCAGTACAGTGTATTGCATTCACTCCTGCATTAGCAGTTCACTGAGAGTAAATATCTTTCTGCCTGAGGCAGATAATTTGCTAAGCGTAAGCAGGAAATGTTGTGCCATTTTTAAAGTTGCCCCGAGATCTAGAAACCCTTTCCTTTCCTTATATGCAATAAGTTAACAAATACAGGAAGCTGCATAAGTACGTTTTCATCTTTACTCTCTCCCATCTATCTTGCATATTTTTATGCATGAGTTGTTTTGCTTGATGCTCTTTCGTACTACATTTGAATGTTAAGTGTGCTTTTGCATTTTATCAGTGTGTATTATACAGCCTTTAATGCCTTATTATAAATGTGTATTTGCAAAACTCAAAATAATTTTAACCAAAATGTGGAAACAAAAATGTATTTTAATTTGATTTATAATTCAGATGAAGATTACCTTTGTGATTTTGTGTTTTGAGTGCCACATATATATTTATATTTATATATAGTATATAAAGTATAAATATATCTGTTATGTATACATATAATATATCAACATTTTTATGCAAAAGAAGTTTAAATTGGTGTGCATATAAGAAACAGTTTCTAAAATATCAGAGAGCATAATCTTAAACAGTAGCTAGAAGGTTTCCTAATCTGAACTACACAATAATGAGGGACATTCATTGATTGATCTACTTAAATGAAGATCAAGTCATAACTTTGCCCAGTAAGACCAAAAAAAGGCAACAAAACAAAGAGTTAATTTTAGCCTAGTAATTATAAAGTGGAATACACATTGGTCATCCCTGTGAAATGGAGGGTAGATACTGTCTCCAGACATCAGAGGTACCTTTGACCATTGAGAGCTGATGCTTCCAAGCTGTCTCAGCCTTTGTCTTAACTGATAAATAATGTTGAGACATGGGCCTGAATTCTTGCCTATAACTGAGTATTGCTACATTTTATGGTTAGTGTGCTTGCCAGCCCAGTGCAGTCTCTTGTCAGCTAGCTCTCTGCCCAGCAAGGTGCAGGTATTGTTCAGAGGACAGCACCAGCACAGGATGGTTCTCACCCAGCATGTTTTGTAAGGGGAAGAATTTATGCTGTGTCACCTGGAATTGTGGCTAGAAAAGTCAATGCTCCATTGGAAATGGGTTCTTTCTCATGTGCTTTTATGAGCCTTCCTGTATAGACATAAGTTCTCTAAAGAGAGTTGGAAGTCTTTATGGGCCTCTGGGACATTCACGTTTCTGTGTGTAAAGCTGTAGATGCATTGTGTCCTCCACTTCAGTGGAAGCAAGTCTACAGACCTTCCCTGGGCGAAGCGTGTTGTGCCACGAGAGCTGAGGTATTCACAGCATCCAAAGAGACTGACTGAAGGTCTCAAGTGTAATCTGGTCCTAGTGTGAAGTATCTACTAAGCTGAGATCTGAAGTACTATTGATCCTTACTAAAATAATTTACTGGCTGTGAATAATCCAATACCTTATCTCATAAAGCCAGAAAAGAACAACAAATGCTGAACCAAAATGCCATGTGAGTTACACGTAGGAAGTGTTTTGTATTCCTTATTCATGTGGGAGGATGATCTTTGTCTCTATTTCCCAAAAAGAGAGAGGTCTATTGGGCAACTCTTCATAGAGTTTCAAACTTTTTGGTTTTGGGGCTGGAGGAGAAAATGAAGAATGAACACGATAGGTTTGGATGGATGTCCAGCTTTTCCACTTGATGTCTTCTTCTGTCTGTAGCGCACATCCCTGAATTCTCTCACCCTTCCAACTTTCTCCCAGCAGCAAGTCCTAAGGCTGGTTGCCTGTAGTATGTTTCCAAACAGGGGAGTAGAAAATAAGCTTCACCAGGAAGATCCTCCCACTGTGTTGGAGACCAGCAGGAGGGACGCAGCCCTCTGACCGCACAGATGATTCCTGTCCTTATTAGAGACTGTAGTGTTTCCTGTGTAGTTTGTTTATCATTTATGTCTTAGAGCTACAGGCAGCATTTGGAAAGCAGTAGTGCCAAGGAAAGCCTTCCCAATTGCACTCTGTTAAGTCAAGTCCTCACTAATGCTAAACCGTGGCAATCATAATAAACCGTAGGATGTGGTATGGGTTTGAGGAGAGGAAGAAAACATGATGCTTAATAAGGCTTTAAAGGATGCTTCATTGTTGATTTTTAGTTGAAATTGAATGTTAGGGTCTTGAATAGCCCATCTGTTTTCCCATTTCAGAATAATGGGAGTGCATTAGCTAATGAGTATTGCCTTTTTATTCATTTTGAGAATGCAGTCAACATGTTTGAGTGAATTATAATTTGCAATTTCATTTCAGTAGTTTAATTAATATAAAATGGTTGAGAATAGTTTTGAGGTTTGTGGAAAGCAATGTAGACTATGCACAGGTTTTGCAAAGTAGTTGCTAACCTTAAATGTTGCAAGAATTCTTATATAGTCAACAGTAAGTTCTATGCACGTGTACTTGGAAACATTTTAAATAATCAAAATATTTACAAAATACAGTATTTCTGGTTTTTCAATACTAATTTTCACAGTGAATGTTGTTTCTTAATTAATGAACAGTGTATACAGGCTATTAATTATTTGAATTAGCATAGCATTTAAATGCAGCAAAACATCTCATTTTTCTTCTTTTACTCTCTAGCAATGGCAAGTCGGCAGGTAGACATCGCTACTCAAGGATGGTTCATTGGCCTTATGTGTGCTGTTGCTCTTCTGATCTTGATTTTACTGATTGTTTGCTTCATAAGGAGGAATAAGGGTGGAAAATATCCAGGTATGATGTACAACAATGAGAATAAAAATCATCTACTGGTAATCGATTGAGACAGATCACAGGTTTACTGGAAAATTTACATTTGCTGCTGATTTACATTTACATTGTGTATGTGGTAAATCGGTCTTATCATTTGGTAGGCAGGAGCAATCTGCCTATAGCTAGAAAAACTCAATCCATTCAAGCAAAAGAAAAGTATCTCCTTCATTCCTGGAGGGTCATATTACTACATTACCTCTCCAGAGAGGTTGGAGCTTTGATTGAGATACTTGCTCCTCCTGCCCCCACTTTCTGAAGTGTAATCCAGATGGCTTTAACCCACTAAAATGAGCTGAGTTAGAATTTAATTGATCAGGAAGCATGGAAACACGTATCAGATCATAGCCGCCGTGTAACTTTAATGTACTGGGAATGCATCTCATAGGACAAATCCCTTCATGCATTATTTTGCTTCAAATACATTACCCTCTTCAGAAACTGTTGTCTTCAGCCACTCCATTATTGCAGCCAAATTTTAAGTTACCATCCTTCAGTTAGGCTGGTTTTTCTTCTATAAGTTTTTCTTTAGAAGGGTTTTTGGTTTTAGGGTATTTTTTACTATTAGGTCTAGGAATGGCCAAGTATAATTTGTAATAGTTATAGCAGCTGGATACATTTCAAGGTGTTATGCATTATTGTAATTATAGATTTAGAAAGTATGGTCAGGAATGATTAATATAATTTTAAATAACAGCATATAAGCTAATGATGTACAAATTAAATGTGGAAATTACTAGAGTAAAAGATAAGAGATTGCATGTTGGATTATATAACTGCATCTGCTAAACAAGGGAAAGATTTGAGCAGTAGCCAGAAAAACAGAAATTAAGAGGCAAAGGGAAGAATCATAAAGATAATTCTTGAAGAGAGTGTATTATTTTACTCTGTCAACAACCTTAAAGGAATATATGTCTTCTATAAACATCTGTAGTCTTAAGTATTAGCAGGTTTCTGTGTCAAAGGACACAGTGCTATATAGGTTTTTATAGGGACAAGTTGCATGCGTGGATTTATTCCCACTAGTGAAGGGTGACTAAACCTACAACAAGGATGTGCGAGAGATAAAATTGTGTTAAATTTAGATTCCAGTGTAGGCGGTTTTGCTTTGCTTTTGATCATGTTATAGAAAAGAAGAAAGTAACAGGCCATGCCTATTTTTTCCAGTATTAATAATTCTTAAAATACTATTTTAAGTTCCTCAGAGTCTTAGTGCATGAAATGAAAGCACAAAGTGTACAAATTGACAGTGAACACAAGTGAATCTTATTTCAGTTTTATCAATCAGTATGAGAGGAATATCAAGCGAGAATATGGAGCATGGATAAGTAAAACTAAATTTCTCAGATTTCAATAAACAATAGCTCTATTAATAACATAAGTGAAGAAAGTATTTTAGTAAGATGTTTAACAAAACTTTCTCTTTCGTTCTAGAAATGAAAGGAATTTTTACCAATGCAGAATGTCATACAGTATTTTGCACTTGAATGGAAATAAAATTTGGTAACTAATTAATAGAATGTTCCTTCAAAAGCAAAAATGTAACAGCCTAAGGCACTAGTTCAAAAAATTCTTTTTATTCAAACCACGTTCCTGCCAAATGTGATCAGTTTGAGAAATTAAGGTCTTGAGGTTTCTTGTCTTGCAGTTTCATGATAAAAATTAGTATTTCAAATATTTTAGTGAAGGAAAAGGAGGACGCACATGCTGATCCAGAAATACAACCTATGAAGGAAGATGATGGAACATTTGGTGAATACAGGTGAGCAACTGATGTGGTTTGTCGTGTTCGCTGTTCATATCACACATGTACTGTATATAATATCACACTTATTAATTCAAAACTAACTTTTTTTTCCGTGTTGACAAAGATTCTGTATCCAGTGCTGTATAGAACTCTAGATAGCATTTCAACCACACCATTAGAAAAAAAATTAAACATCCAAGCTTAGAGTAAGCCATTCAATAAGGCAAGATGAAATCCAGATTCAAACACAGTTGTCTCAAAGCGAGGAATGTATTTACAAACCTGATTTTCAGGTAGATAAAATACCAGATACAGTGTCCTTTCAGTTAGGGCCCATTTAGCATTTTGGGTTTTGAAAATACATTCTAATTGATGCCCTAATAATGGTAATCTTGTGTTAAATTGATAGGAAAATAAATGCATTTAAAGTATCTGCTGGTACTAACACCTAATCCAGTAACAAGGAAGTGATGTTATACACAGAGGGGAAGGGATGTCCTACAAGAAAAAACAGATCTCCCTTTCATGTATTTCAGTACAAGATACATAGCAAGCAGCTTCAAAGCATGCAACGCAGCTCTTAGTCCTGACTCTTTTCTTTTGTTGTAAATGCAGTCTTGCTGAATCTCCTGGCATCATAAAAAGCATGCCATGGCAAATCTGTTCATATAACCATTATGAGTATAGTATATTAAATAAGCAGTGTTTTATTTGTTGGGTTTTGATTAGTACAGGAAATAATATCATTACTTTCTAAATATGTCGATACCTTTATATTTTACATGGGTGTTATATTGGATTTTATAGTGCATTCCTATGTCAAAAGCATTGTAAAAACCCTTTATTATTTTGAAGATGTGACATTTGCAAATGTACATAGAAACATCAGTTTTTTCAAGGATGGTCTACTCTGTTGCCATAGCTTCTTCATATAAGAGAAATGTACATCTTGACCTGACTGGACTAGATTTACAGTTCTGAATGCCAAAGAGCAGCTTCTGTTTATTCTTCCTTGATTTTAAAAAAATATGATACTCTTTTCTTAGGTTAATTGGTTCAGAATACTATTTCATTACAGTACTAAGTGCATATGAATTAATTATATTCAGCTGATAAAAGGGGAAGTGTGAAGCAGTGTTTGGAAGCAGAGATAAATAAGTACTGTGTAAGTTTTCCTAGGCGGTCCAGTTCGCATTCTCCTTTACTGCTCCTCTATTTTTCAATACTTGGAACTTTCAGCAGCAGAAACTGACCTTCGTACAGAATTGTACAAATTATATTACCTCAATACATGTTTTCTCAGGCCTAGCATAAGACTGTTCAAGTCTACTTTCATATGTGACCTGTAGGAAGATTTGAATTTATGTCTCCATATTGAAGTGACTTGAGTTAATCTATAGAATCATCTAGTGTTTTATTAAATTACTTTATAATGCATTTATCCACCTTATGTCTGGTGAATATGGACAGATGCATGTCAAGCTTTCATACTTGTTCACATGAAAGAGCTCATCCTATTTACCATGCAAAAACTCCTTTCTAAAATGAATTTCTGTGTAATTAGTCTATATTGGGCTTTCCTCTTTTTTCCTTAGAGACAGGGCAGCAGCAGCAACCAGTCAGATTACAGAAGATATCTTGGCACCCTCTCTGCAGTCCAGCATCACTGCAGTCACTCAGTTCCCAGTTTGTCAGCCTCACATGGCAGTGGTCATGATGCAGTGCTCCTTTGAGGAAAAAGGGTATAGGGTTTCCCTTGAAAAAAAAAGTAATTTTTGAAAAATGTAGGAATTCGAGTATTTTGAACTTTTTTCATCACTTCAGGTCCATGTCTGCTTGGACAGGAAAGAAACTGGACAAGGAAAAGAACAGAAAAGGTAGCTGTGCCAATTCTCCTGAAGCAGACCCTGTCTTTACCAAAGCAAAGTCTGTGAGATCTGACAGATCCAACTTCTTCAGAAGGTCAGGGGATCAATGTTCCAGCACCAGATCAGAGACCTCCTACACCAGGAGGAGGGCTAGGCAGTCTTCAGAGCTTACAAGGGGTAGTTCTGTCTCTGCTTCCCTCTGCCGAGAGGAAAAGAGGTCAGAGGAATGGAAGTGCAGGCATGGCTCTAGACATCATGCTTCTGAGCAACAGATAATGGGGTCGGAGGAGGGCTCAGATTCTCAGGCAGGACAGCCGTCCCCTTTCCAGCAACCCCTCAGCTCCAACTCAATTCGTGGCTCACTGGCAAGGCAGCAGTCTTCTCTGCAGCACTGGTTCAGCCAGACCCCAGACTACAGCTCAGATTCAGAAGACACTCAGAGCTCCTATCACAGGAAGGTAAGACCTTCTACTACTACTCACTTCTCTGAATCTGAAAAGAATTCATTAATGAAATCTGTAATTTTGCCTGAGCTAGCTACAGTCTTAAAAGATGCTTTGACAGCAGCCAGACAAAGTATAACTTCTGTGGCACAGGCTAGGACCCATTTAGTAAGGCATCCCAGGGTACCAATTACAGAAGTTCCAGTGGTTCCTCTAGAAGCAACTGATAGCAGTTCCCAAAATTTTGAGTCTGACCATATGGACGGTTTAAAAGATCAAACAGCCCCTGGGAAGGAGAAATCTGAAGCTGTCAAAGCCTTGGAGGTTGAGTCATCCCCTGAAGATGGGGAGACGTCATCTGAGTCCCCTACAGAAGACGAAGAAGGACCAGATCCTCTGCGTAAGTTTGACATGGAGAATCAGAATTATCTGTTCAAGCGCATAAAAAGAGTGTTAATGCTAAAATCTTCAAAATCTGAATGTGCTTCAGAAGAACTGCTTATCCCATCTGAAGAAGGCAAGGTAGATGCACTTCCTATCCATTCAGAGGTGGAAGATCTTGTCTGTAGGATTTGGGGTAATCCTGAAGCAAAGCATGAAGCCCCAGCAGTCCTACGTAAGCTCTATCCTCTTCCAATGGAGAAAGCTGCTTTGTGGGGGACCTTGCCTCAGGTAGACAGGGCATTGGTTAGTGGTGATTCTGTACTGTCAGTGCCTGCTAATATGGATGCTCTCCCTCAAGATCCTACTGATAGAAAGGTTGAGGAAGCAATCAAAAGATCTTTCAAACTAGTTGCAGCCCAGCTTGGAGTATCTATCTACTGCACTTACGCCTGTAGAGCGTTACTAATATGGTTGGAGAAGGAACGAGCCAGATTCAAAAAGCAATGGGTCCCATCTGGTGCCATGCAGAGGAAACGCAGGCTGTGTAAAATTGCAGCTAATTTTATCCATGATGCAGCTGAGGATTCTCTGAGACTCACGGTTAAAAATATGGCATGCCTCACTGTGGCCTGGAGAGCTATATGGCTACGTCCTTGGACCTCGTCGCTAGATCTAACATGTAAACTGCTGTCCTTACCATACACAGGAGGGAAGCTATTTGGCGAATCCTTGGTCCAGATCATGAAGGATTTCTCAGAACACAAACACTCCTTACATCAGCTGAAGAAGAAGAGCTCTGTTGGAAGCTCTTCATTTTCTTATCCTCCCAAGTGTCTGAGCTCCTTTCGTTCTCCTCCAAAGTTTAAAGGAGGGAAGGGAAAGTATAAGGTCTCACACTCATTTCATGCCAAGTACGAAAGGACATCTCACTTTCAGAGAGACGCCAGACCATCAAGAGGAACTTTCTAAGAACATAGACTGGCTTCCTCCTTTTTCAGGAACTGGGAAGTGTGAAAGACTTGGAAATTTATACTGAATAGATTTCAGTATTTCTGGACAAGTAGGCCCAACACTTAGAAAATTAGTTGTTTAAAAATAAGATTTAAATTATTAAATTACTTTAATCTTAATGACTAATTAAGATCTTCTAGAGAAGTCATAGCTCTCAATTTTAGGAGAGATTTTTGTCACATTCATTTTATAGGCTTCCCAGTATTCTTGGGATGGCATGGACTTGTTTGAAGTTTTGCACTCTTCAACTTTATCTAAGGGAACACCTTCTGCAGAACCTGCCAACATCGCATTTTCCTGCCATATCTATCTAAGGAAGGAAGTAATGCCTCAGGAAACACTGGTGTTTCAGGAACCACAGAATGACCAGGTGCACTATGTTCCTGTGACCAGAGGCACACCTGCACCTTTACATAATAAGGGAAAATAGGTCCTCTGTAGCAAACTGATTTCACTACAATCGCAGTGGTTTCCTGAGTCAGAGAAGACTAAACCAGCAAATTGTGGACAGTCAGTGCATACACCAAGAAACTGCAAGAAATACAAGAAGTACCACAAATGTATGTCTATTTAAATTAAAATTCAAGACTATCTAGAGCTCCTGTTAAGGTCAGTGTGGGTGTATAAATCAGACTCAATTTCCATCCTGGGCCCTAAACCAAGAGAAATGAAGAAGTTATGGCATCTACAGACCTGTGAATTGATGGGGAGGGAGGGACTGCAGGCATGCATTTCTTAGCCAATTTCACAGAAGTATGAAAGGCTAGTGTTTCATGGCAGTCTGCAAGATGTTCTTAGGAAGGTCAAACAGGACAAGGCAACTGCAGTAGCAGGACTACTAGTGTGGTAACACAGGATGTTTGCACATTTTGTTGAACTATTTTGCCTCTTTTCTTCAACATTTTTGACACACACAATATTTTGCCTAGAAATTTTGGGGTATTCTAAGAGAGACTTTCCGGAAATGGTTGGTGGAGAGTTCTGATGTTGCTGGATAATATATTACTCTTCCTTCTTGTTCCGGGTTAATTAACAATGAGAATACAGTTTTTAACTACAATAGTATTTTTTTTCTCTTCTAGTTACTGAAGTTTTATAGCTGCTTAGGGTGTTTCCAGGGGGACCTAGCAATGATTTGTGCCCAGCACCGCAATTCTAAGCTTGGTCCTTTCTAGCGCGAGAGATAATGTCAGTGGACTGCCTGCAGAATTCTTGTCTCTGAATAGTCCAGTTGGATTTGGCAGTGGTCTTACTGCGTCCTCATTTACACACACATGCTTTCTTTGACAGTTCCTATTTTTATTCTTGAACATCCGTGTCGCTACTTTTTAAATCAGTGCTTTGATTTCCCTTTGTATAATTTTCTACCAGAAATAGCAAAGGTGGAAAGTTGGTTGAATTATACTCGAGCAGATTTTTCTTTAAAATTTTGACGAGGAGAGAGTCAGGTTCTCTGACTAACAACAGTTTTTTCAACCCATTGCCTTTTAAAGCCAGAGTTTAATCTCCCCGTTTTCCCAGCTTCTGCCAGGATTGAAGATTGAGTATTATAGAGATGCTAAAGAAAAACAACTCAGAAAACTAATATAGATGTTCTTATATCTTAGCTAGATTAGGAATAGTAAAATGTTCTGAGTTTTGGATTGACACAGGTGCATAAGTGCATAGGGAAAGCATTTTTCATCTGCATAGCCCTGTCAATTTAGGAGCATGAGCAGAAACCTGTTAGGTATTGGGGCAGAGGTTTTCCTGGAGCGTGCAGGGAAGCTGCAGTGTAAGATATTTCTGTGGCTTTATGTGACTGCTTATACTTAAACATTTCTAGGCTGTTGACCTGAGGGCACAGAAAAAGGAATTTGCTGCCAACAGTTTTCATCTTCTGCATCCTCTTTCTGCGTCCCGTAGCCCAGACTGCTTTACCCATTTTGTTTGTTTTATGTTGCCTTTCCTCTGACAGTTGTGTTACAAGGAAAAGTAGTATATTGCTAACCATATATTGAGTCTTTTTGCATGTCCATGAATGTGGCAAAGTTTAGTGGGAACTAGTTGCCTGCTGGACTGCAGAGGCACCGTAAAACTGTCTTCCCCATTCTGACTGGTTGCTGCATGTACCCATATCTAAGGAAGAAAAATTGAAAAGTTGAAAGAAGAAAGGAGATTTCAAGGTACCTATTTCTTTCAATAACTGATGAGCTTGTGAAATGGAAGTAATTCTTATATTTTTAAAAGTTTGTACTTTGCACTTACACGTTATTGTCACCTGCATACTTCTTCATATCTCTTAATCATTAACTGCCAGTTTGCTATGTGTTTCATTAAACTAAGAAGAAAAAGAAACATGTATTCACGTATTAGCAATCATTTTTGAAAAAATATTCAAATCATGCTTTCAGAGTATGCTTTAACATGAAACACTGTTCTTACTAAAGGGCAAGAAATGTGTGTGGTACATATCAGTACTTAACAAAAAGACTGGTACATATCACTCTTCACTGAGCAACATTGATTCCATTCTAAAAAGTAGCAGTATAGAATTCATTTGTAAGACAACAAATAGTAAACGTATCCCTAGACTTAACTTTCATGGCTGTCTGATCTAAATATAAAATTCATATGTAAAACCTCTTGTTTTGTTCCCTCCCAGTATTCACTGTCTTACTATTAATTGTTTACATGGCACATTTCAAAAACTTCTTCAGTTTTCCACTGTAATTTTAGTCAACCTAATTTGTACTTTATTTTTCATTATTTCAAGATACTACAACAGGCTAGTATAAAAGATATCAAGTAAAATCATAAACAAAAACTAAAACGAATTATGATCTATCCTGGTCGCATTTTGAAATAGTTTTATGAACTACTCCAAGCAAGATTACTGAATCTTGCAGTTACTGTATCAAAATTTATGGCTTTAACATGTTTTTGCAATATAATATTATATATCCTACAGCCTAAAGTGTTCTGTAGCTCTTTGGGCATCCATATTCACTGTGCAATTCAGTGGCTTTGGCAGTTTGCTTCTTGGCAGCAAAGAGAAAATACATTCATTTCCCAAGAGCACCAGGGTCCCTTCTCTGTTTTTCCCCTCCAGGGTTACAGAAGTGCTGTCCAAAACATCGATGTCTTCACTTTTTTGCTTTCTCTCCTGCTTGTTGTTTTGCTTTTTATTCCTCGGTTTCTTTCCCTTCCACCCAAAACATTCTGCTCATCTAATAGAAGAGTCCTAATCCAGTTTGATACAGGATAAATGGTACCACGGCATATATTTCCTTTTCCTGAACAAGGAGTGGGAAACACCCTGGATAATCCCTCATCTTTTTCTGCTGCCAGAATCGTGGCAGAACTTCTTTCATATAGTGCAATATGGGAGGGAATTCCCAGATTCAGGTTTGATATTTGCATCTGCTGTAACCATGCTCTTACCCCAGTGCCCACCTCTGTGCAGGTGTTGACTCCTAGGTATATCTGCAGTTTCGTTTGGTCTTAATTATACAGACAGTAGAATCTATGTCCTTACTAAAATATAGAAGAATCACAGACACAATGCAACCAAACTGTGTAAGAGCCGAACTTCCCATAACCAGATTTACCTAGGTTATAAATGAAAATAGAGTTTTCTATTAAACACAAACATGTGGGTATTTTTAATACAGCGATGGTGTATCATTTGTTTAGTGTATATTCCAGCCTAGTGTATTACACCGGATAAGGTCACGCTTTAGAATATTTGTGCAGAGTTTCCGGACCAGTTGAAATATGGTGCAAATGCAGTTTTAATTTCCTTTCATTCCTACATATTACAGTGTAAGCAATTACAGAGCTCCTCATCTAAAATTAAACAGCAAACCATATGTGCAGTGTTCTTTACTAGATGCTGTTACGCAGAAAGCATAACACTGCAGTCATTCTTTGGGAAGAGGACCTCGTCCTACTTCAGAGTGAGGGTCTGGTGTGGCCTGTTGCAGTGACTCTGATGCCCTCTGAGGAGGGCAATGGAGAAACTGCCAGTGATTTCTAAATACTTGAATCTATCTTCAGCCTTTTAAATACAGGGTCACTCCATAACGAACTCTCTCCAGTAATATCTCTGTAATCTGCTTGTGTTTGCAGTGCTATAAACGTTTGCACTTTGCTGCTGGGTGCTTGACGTTTCGGAGTAGCTTTCTTCTAGATGTTACTACTCTATATGTTTGCAGTATCAGTGAGCACAGGAGGTCAGCAATACGATATTTATCCTCATGCCATGTACTAAAAACAAAGTCAAGACTGATACAGTCAAGATTAGAGTTTTTGTCTTTGGGTATTTCAAACATGAAGATTTTCTTATATGTTAATAAGACAGATATTCCTACCATTTCGTTCTTGTGTATGCATAGAAGAATAAAATTTCTAGTATGCTTTTTCTGTAATTATGGAATGTGGTAACTTGGAATCTTCCGAAAAAGGTGATGAGATGAGGAGAAGCAGCTTGACAGAAAATTGTTGTAATGGTTTTCTAGCAATAGTGAAATATTCTCAACAGGGCATTTGTTAGCTAACAGTATAATCTGTGTGACCTTGTATGGGCTATATAGATATGGTTTCTCTGGATGTTCAAAGATATTCGTTAGAAAAAAAGATGAAAGTATAATTATTGGAAGAACTAAGGTATTTGTTTTTAGGAATTACATAGTTAAAATAATTTGCTGAATATATATTCAGTTTTTACTTGGAAATGCTTTAGAGCTGCTGCCGAAATCTTCGTTTTGAAACTGAATTGCAGTGTAAAGGATTCTGAAAAGAGCCCAACTACATCTATTTCATGAAATACAAGTTTACCACAGCTGCAGATTTATTTGGGGATTCTGATGGTGCTGCAGCTTTTCCACTGACAAGGGAAAGACAACAGTATTCTGCTACAGGGATCTCTCCTCCCTGCTTTTCTTTCCTTTCCTTTTTCTGTCTCCAGCTCACCATCATGATGTTACCGGTTATGGATTAGGATAAGGAGGTTGATCTGATAAGTAGTGAAAAGAACTAAGCATGCTCTTAACTGTAGCTACTATAAGATTGTTGCTTTACCTGTATACAGTAAATGTTTTAGCAATTTTAAGAGCAAATTATTACTGATAAAATACTGATCACTATCAGGATATGGACTTTGCTTTTCTTCTTAGGCTGTTTTCATTTGTTTCTTCTGCACCCTTTTAATGGAATATGTAGGTCTCTTGAAAGGTAAGGTTGAAAATTGCAAGTCTGGCCTGCATTATGTAACAAATTATTTGAAATGCAGTACTTTTATTTTCTTTATACTAGTAAAGAAAATTGGTATATTTCATTTAACCAAATTCATTCTTCATTCATGATCAAGGAGTCAAAGAAATTAAGAAGTTTAACAGACTAACTTCACGACACATCATAAGCTTGTTACTTTGGAGAACCCAAAAATTATTTTTTTATAACTTTACAACCCACTTTTTAATGCTTGCAGTTGCATCTAAATTGCTTCCAAGCAAAGGGCACAAATCTTATCATTGAAAAGTCATGCACGATGAGGGAAAAAAGAAATAAAGAGAAACAAAAAAATAAACCACACACCCCCCCCTCCCTCCACTGAAGACATTCTCTGTTTAAACCATTCCTACACCATGTATTCATGTCAACTGCATCATATTGATCTGCCTCTACAATGTGATGTGGGTTTACTAAAGGATTCTAGGGCTGCACACGTGCTTTTTATAAACTCTGCATGCATGGCTGATTTTTGTCTTAATATATAATGCATCAGTTAATTCCTTATGTTTGTTTGTTTGTGTCTCCAGCGATGCAGAGGACCATAAACCTCTAAAAAAGGGAAGCCGGACACCTTCAGACAGAACTGTGAAAAAAGAAGACAGTGATGATAGTTTAGTTGACTATGGAGAAGGTGTAAATGGTCAGTTCAATGAGGATGGCTCTTTTATTGGACAATACAGTGGTAAAAAAGAGAAAGAACCTGCTGAAGGAAACGAAAGCTCTGAGGCTCCTTCTCCTGTAAATGCCATGAATTCATTTGTGTAACCAGAGAACTCGGTCCCCTTGTATCTTCAGTTTGTTTAAAGCACTTGTACATCCTCCTTCTCATACTATGAACATGCAGGTAACGGGGCGCCTCACCACGAGATGTTTATGCTATGAGAACATGCAGGGCGATACAATCACACAGCATCATGACACATTAAGTGGTATGTTAGTACAACTCAAAATACAAAAGTCAAATTTTGTTCAAAACTTGGGTATTTTTACTTTTTTAGAAGGAACTGACACAAACAGTAACATCGACTTCTAATTTTGTTTCCTGTTGAAAATACAGTGTAATGCATGGAAAAAAAAAAAAAGCTCCACAATTCACAAATGATTTCGTGTACACTCTAAAAACATGGTTTGACGATTTGTTCTGCAGTCCTCAGCTGAATCCCTGGGTATGAATTCCGTTTTCATTGTCAGAGTGTTATAGTAGTATTATATAGAACTTCAATGTCTTTGTGGACATTGTTGTGAAATTGGTGACTTAATGTCTAGCTATCATATGTCTTTTTGCAAGACAGTTAGGAACAGTATGTACAGTATATAATTGCTAAATGATTTAAGTATGACACTTGCATTTGCTGATGCTTAATGAGACCCTATTATCTGCTCTTTGCTCCTATTACTTCATAGCCTTTTTAATCTATCGAGTATTACAGCAGTACAGTGTTCTATTTTTACATCAAAACACATTGGATTGATTTTAGGGCATAAAAGATACGCATTGCAATGCATTTTGGAATTTGTACAGTCACTGAAAGAAAAACTTTAAAATAAGAGAAAATATTCCAGAAAACACAGGGCAAAATACATTCAGTGCCTTTATACAATATGCATTCCATAATGCGCTGTACCTCTAAATCAGTTGGTGCAGTAAACTGTGATTAGCGGACTACTGTCATTGCCAAATAAAATGAAAATGTGCAGAAAAAAAAAAGTGTTGTGAAACTGTTGTGCTAAAAACGGAAGGTTTTAAATCACACAAAGAAGAGTATGATTTTTTTCCTTTTAAAAATAAAATAAATGCTTTCTAGACAGTTACAGCACAACATGTTTTCATGGCCTTAGGAGATTTAAAAAAAAAAAAAAAAACCACAACAAAATACAACCAGAATTAAATTATTTACTAATATAGCAAGGTATAAGCTCTTGTAAAATAAACGAATCGTTAAAAAACCAAACCAGCCGAGTCCAGCAGCGCGACCGCATTTCCCTCTGTGTCCCGGCCTGCTGGGTGTGACAGCTCTGTCACTATCTGCACCCGGAGCAGGGGGGGTCACCGCTCGCAGCCACAGAACCCCATCTGACAAGTGCTAATACGGTTGTAGTGGTAAAGGATTGCCATTATCCGTTATGAAATTATTTTCTCGCATACTATATCAATCAAATGTTTACCTCCAAATATAAATTTTTATAACAACCTATGGTTGAAGGAATGCTCAGTTTCATTTGCCAATAAATTGGTTTTTCATAACTTGCATCAAGTTTAATTTTAAGTAAGCTTTTTATATGTAGATATTTTGTTGAATTTGTAAATACACTTAAAGCGTAGATGCTATATGCTTCTAGGTGTTACAGACAAATAAAACAAGAAAGCTTATGTTGTACTGTGTAAGAAGTACTATAGCCAATGGTATGCATGGTATTTTAAAGCATCTACTTCAATTTCTTTTTTTTCTTTTTTTTTTTTTGGCTGTGAAGACGAAATAGTGAACTGTTCTGCTTATTTACTGCAGATTCCTAATTGAACCATTCAGAGTTGTTGCCAGTGCATTGCATTAGTCCACAGTACACCTTGCAGCTTTCATGTATATATTTTAGGTAGAGCACAACTGAAATAATCACAGCTGTGAGCTTGCTGTAAGAAGCTTCTTTTGCACCTTTGAGCTTTCCATTCATCAGTTTTCTTAATGGGAACCGAAATAAGAAATGAATTCTACAAACACGACTACAAAGCACAAAGAGAACTTTTCTTAATAAGATTTGCCAATGGTTTTGGTAAAAGAGAAATATAATTTTACTCTTATTTAATTGTAGATGCTGAATTATCTGTGCATGTGGGGGTAAACATACAGGCTCACTTCTGTAATAGTGCAACAGATTTTGTATTAAAAATAAATGTGGTTTTAAAATTTCACTGTTTGTTCTGTTTACACTAAAAATTGCATCTGATTCACCATGTAATTAAGGATTCAAAGCAGAAAAAAGCCTGAAACAACGCTGGCAGAAGTTCCCATGGTGTTACGGGACTTTATGTTCTGCAACCAAGTTGGTGGCAGAAAGTTGCGTATCTTTTCGTGCTACCATTTGAAAAAATGTGCACTTGTCTGACTATTTCCTGTTGAAATCTCCTGCTTATTTACATGTTGCTTCCATAGATGCTTTATTTAGTTGTATTTCTGCAAAGAAAAAAAAATGAAACAGTCATGTTCCATACCTGCAAGAGTGAATAAGAGAAAATAAGAATGTTTATTCCGAGTTAAGAGCCTTCAGGTAGGATCCCAAATCAGGATTTTGTGTCCTGAATGAATTACCTGACATAAAAATTCTGGGTGCTTGTTTTAAACACTACATGAAGTGAGGGAATTTTAAATAACATCTTTTACAGTACGCAAAATCCATTGCAATGCTCTTTTCATATCTTGTCTATTCTGTGTATGAACGGAAACAGACTGGGCAGGAGGGGCCGCTGCTCTGCAGAGGAGAGCCATGGCTTCCAAGAGGTCCAGATGCTTCGGGAGGTACCTCAGAAAGTTGGTGTTTGGCCTTGATGCTGCAAAGAGGGATTTTATCGCTGAGTCGGAAGCCATTCTGTCAGCCCTCCGAGCCACTGGTGTGCGACTGGGAACCCCTGGCTATTCCAGCTTCTCTCATCTGCAGAGTCTCAGTTCTGGCACCTTCAGTTACTGGCCTACCTATTTTTTTCTGTCCAGGTACCTGTTGATTTTTCCAGCAATATGCGTTGACTGGGAGATATGAAATACAGCTGTTTCTGTTTTGATTAAAGAATAATTCCTGAAAAGAGGAGTCTGAGTTCCCTGGGCTTTGTTGGGACAAAAAGATGGCAGACGATAACCATTTTTGGAGACACACGTACGTTCTTTGTGCATGTTCCCCAAAGTGTACTGATACGTATAGTTGCTAAATTTTCCTTTGAGTGATATACCTTTGCTTTTGGTTTTATTCTCACTGAAGTGATTGTATAAACCCAGAGGGAATTAAAGAGGATACCCCAACAGTAATTTTTCTTGTAATCTTCTATTCTTGCATTGTTCCTAGGAAAGTGCGGTTTCCTTGTGGCAAAGTGGCAGAAGATTTGGGAACCAGATTGTCTTCATACACTGTCTGGCCCGTGTTAAGACAGAACCTATAGAAAAAATATATGAAGAAATAGACAGTGTGGAAGCATTTCCTTCTCTGAAAGAAGAATTAGGGAGAAAGGCAGGAAGAGGAGGAGATTTTGGTAATTCCTGAAAAGTAATGGTCCTTTGTTGTGTTTCTGTCCCCCTCCACTCCCTGAGGAAAGACCCATTTCAGAGAGCTGGTATCGCAGGAAGATGGAAATAAGTGAATGTGCTACTTGTAGGAATCTGCCCCCAGATGATGCCCCCTGGAGTGCAAATAAATCCAACGGGCCATCATTTTTTAATTCTGGAGGGATCTCTTGCTGCTCTTTGTGAAAATGTTGTGACCAAACTGTCAGGATAGATACACGTCAGCAGGACTTTGACAGACAGTAGATGGGATCCGTCATGACTGTAAGCAAGGAGGAACAGTGTGATCCTTGTGATCTCACGACTTGGTGATAAAAGTATACACAAAAGTCCTTACTGTGCTCACAAGTGGGTGAGCAGGTAAAAAATTCAGATCATTTTTAATAAGTGAAAGGTGGATCCTTCAATTGGGGTTGGAGTTTGCCCGACTGTGAGTTTGGCAGCGCTGGCTTCGTCCCCCAGGGAGGCCCCGCAGGATGCAGTTGAAGGCAGCTGGCGAGTGACAGGTTTGCATATGGTATGAGTTGGAGGGTGAGGCAGGGCAGGAGATGGCTCCTGTCACCGGCACCAGCAGCCTTTCGTCCCATTTTCCCTTACCCTGAGGCGCTCGGGGAAAATAAAGAAGTTTAGAAAAAAGCATGGTTCCCCTGCCAGCTGAAAAAAAGCACACGGCGTCACGTTAAAATCTAAGCTGCTGCTGTAAATTGGATTTAATTACGCCTGGGGTTTTATTCCTTTTTGGATGTAAGTGGAGGAGAAATGCCCCGTCCCCCGCCTGTCGTGTTGTACGGTTTAGACAGGCTAATTCTGATGCCTGATTTCTGAAGAAGTGCTAGGTCTCGTGCCGCGTTAGGGAATGAACTGCATTTACCTCTGATAATAAAGTAGGCTCAATGCGTAGCTTCTGGAGGGTGCGGCCCTAATTCCCAGTCCATGGGCCGTTGAAGAGGGACACTCTGGTCCTGGAACCCAGCATCTTCTCTGACAATGACAGCGCCCGCTCCATACCCTGCTCTGCCTTGTGTTTGCAAAGATCTCGAGTGCTTCAAGATTTCATAGGACCAAGGGGGCAAACTAAGTTTTGTAATGGCAGGATTCAGAACATACTGCGAGTGGATGGTCTGCGGGATCTCTGCTGCTGCGAGGGAGGCCCTAGGGGCACCCCGGCACGGAAAGTCAGCCTGTCTGGCACGGGCAGAAGAAGAGGGAGCAAAAATGAAACTGTTGGGGCAGAGAAGTGAAAGACAAAAGTCATGATATTTGAGGTTTCCTTTAAAGAACCAGCTATGGAGGTGGCTGGCCTCAAGGGAAATTTTTATTTTATTTTATTTTATTTTTTGACGTGAGAGGCAGCCCAGTCTTTAAATCATTAGCATTTAAAAATAAGAATTGACCACTAGGGGGAAGTCACAGTTGTTGGTTTGTAGAAGCCCAGGGAAACTGGTACTGAAAGAAACACATTTCAATTCACATCCCATGTAAATGCAGATATATATACACATATAAAAAACCTATACGAATTTATATATAAAAGTATATATAAAGTAGTGGCTAATAAGAATAAGACACAAGTTCATAACGATTTGCTTGTTTCACAAAAAGCAATAATGTTATTTGCATAAGCAAGAATATTAACGACCTTATTCTAATTCGCCTGTTTGTCATCATGATCATAAATCACAGGGTCATTTGGGGCAGAATTGCCGTTTGAAAAGTAAATTGGTTGGGACTGTGGGGCAGGGATGCTCGGTGTGAAATCCAGCAGCCAGTCCTGTCCCAAAGGCACACGGAAATAGGGCTTTTTGGAAGCAGGATCAGAAACCAGCCGAATTCTCCGCTGGGTTGTCAGTTCCCAGATCGGTGGTTGTAGGTACCTGCGCTTGGCAGCTATAAAAAATTGAATGGTTTTTAAAAAATGGTGTTGGTTGGTTTGGTTTGCAGCCAATCAGCTCAGCTTTCACCTGTGAAGGCCCAGAATGGGCTCAGAAAAGGGTGACGTGGTGCCCAAGACTGAAGCTGCAGAACCGGAGGTTCCCCGGAGAAGCCCCGGAGCCCAGCCTGCGGCAGCTGATTTTCCGGCCGGCGCTTCATCCCGCCCAAGTGCCTCCGCTTGATCGGGTTTTGAATTTGTCGGGATTGCCCTTAATCTCTGTGTCAAAGGAGAGAGGCTTAAGGCCTTGACGCATGAGGCTGGGGGTAGCTGTCGCAGAGCAGCTTGTGCTCTGGCAGGCGGGTGTCAGCCCCGCGCCTGCTCTGCCCGGCCCCTGCTCGGGCTCTTTGACCCCCTCCTTTTAAAGGGTGCCCAGGAACGGTGACCGCTATTAACCCTTTTGACCAGGACAGGCAACGCGCAGCACATTTTCAGATTCGCACCCACCAGAAGTCCCGTTGGTCTGAAATAAGATGAAGAAACCCTGAATTTATTCACGTTGTCAGAGAGCATCATCTTCAGAGGGACTCTGCCCGCAGGAACCATCTCAGCACATCAGGGCCCCTTCACGTGAGGAGGACGGAGGCTCTGCCCTTCAGGATCAGCATCACATCATCCCTCCTGCAGCAAGAAAGAGGTGGAAGGGGAAGACTTCTGCAGGGTGCGCATGGCTTTGATGCCAAGAAGGAGACTTGTTGCATAGATTAGGGCATAAATTAAGAGAGCTTAAGGTTTTAAGGAAATGTTTTCAAAAAAACACTATAGAAAAATCATCATGTATTGGCATCATAGAAAATCCTCAGCATGAGAAGGATGTGGACCTGTTGGAGCAGACCCAGAGGTGGTCCACAAAGATGATCGGCAGGCTGGAGCACCTCTCCTGTGAAGACAGGCTAAGAGAGCTGGGGTTGTTCAGCCTGGAGAGGAGAAGGCTCCAGGGAGACCTCATAGCAGCCTTCCAATAACTGAAGCAGCCTACAGGAGACATGGGGAGGGACTTTTTACAAGGGCAGGTAGTGATAGGACAAGGGGGAATGGCTTCAAACAAATCTAAATCAAAGGGTAAATTTAGATTAGATATCAGGAAGAAATTCTTTACAGTGAGGGTGGTGAGACACTGGAACAGGTTGCCCAGAGAAGCTGTGGATGCCCCATCCCTGGAGGTGTTCAAGGCCAGGCTGGATGGGGCTTTGGGCAACCTGCTCTGGTGGGAGGTGTCCCTGCCCATGGCAGGGGGGTTGGAACTCATGATCTTTAAGGTTCTTTCCAACCCACACCATTCTATGATTCCCTGGTTCTATGACATAGGTACAAGATGTTTGAGGTTAGAGGTGGGAATGCAGTCACATGTTAATGATTAACAAGGAAGAAAATTTGGCAAATAGTTTCTTTTTGCTGGTGGTGAGAGCAGAGATGCTGAAACCTGGAACCCAGGACAGATGTTTCAAATGGAGCAGGCAGCCACCACCCTGCCAAAGCCATTGAAGCTGCTTCATTTACAGCAGATGAGACTTCTGCTTGTGGCATTTTAGGCAGGTCTTTGGGCAGAGATTTGCATAATGAATACTATTTTAGTGAATAACTGCCTAACAGGGTGTCAGGGTTTCTCCACTGATGACAGCAGTCTCCAGCGGGGACATCACAGCCTCAGCCAGTTTATGTGCTGGAAACAGCCACATGGCAGAGCTGCAATCTCTTCTTTCCAAATCCTGTATTTCAGACTGCAACTGAAAAACATTCCACTACAAATATTGAAAAAACAAAACACTTTCATTATGTAGCCAATTTCAGTGAGATTACTGCTCATCAGTTGTTCACTAAAGATCAGTAATAATAAAAATAATGTGAAAGGACCACTGCAGAGGCACAGTCCATGTATTTGAGAGGCTCAGTCTCAGACCATACATTTAAATTCCACACACAAAAGCCTGGGGAGAACCAGTGCAACATCCTTCTTAATTGCAGATAAAATATTCAATTTTTAATGGCTGGAATTTGATGTTCCATGTGAAGGATAACAGAAGAAACAAGATGGATTTGCCTGTCACTCATCCTAAACGTCTCTGCAGGTTTGGTTCTGGTTTTGGTTGCCTGTCAGGCATTTTTTTTTTTTTTTATACATTGAGTAGGATAGATTTCAAGAGAAGTTTACATCCATTCGTCACTGGATGATGAGGTTTTCAGTAAGATGTTCAGAGGGAAATTGCTGTATACCATAAGACTACGCCTGTCAAAAATCAGATACGACAATCGGTGCAGCCTAGTCCTGCATTTCACAGTAGTTTTTCACTGTAACTTAGCTCTTCATTTCTAATAGGCTTTCCATGTGAGACTTGAATTCATATAAAAATATGCAGATGCTGGCTCTGAAGAGTTCAGCTACTTCAGTTGACAAAATAAAAGCTAATGTATGAAACATGGATTGCTCTAGTTTTGGGAGGGATGGTTTCTATTTGAGATGATGTAAAGTGCAACCTATAGGAGCAGAAATTATAGCCTTGCTAAAAGTTTTGTCTTAGTCTCACACCAAGAGTTGTGTTTCATCTTCCCTGTGTGCAGCCTTGAGGAACCAGCTCCCCGCTGAGGCTCCTGGCACTGCAGTGAGGTCTCACCCAGCACCAAATCCCACCACCACTCCACAGAGGAAGAGTTACAGGGGAAGAAGGTCACTAAAGGAAGGTTAATGCCTGAAGGACATTTGGTTTTCCACCCCTTCAAAGTGCTGGGTGAAGCTCTCATACCCTAACGGGGCACCCACTGGAAACGCTTCCTACAAACAAGGCCACTGTGGCCACTTGATTTAGCTTTGTCTTAAATA